AAAATTGGTTTCCTCCTTCCCTCCCTTTCTCTCTTTCCTTCTCTTTCTTTCTAACCCCGATGCCTAGAAGGTCCAGGGTTAGTACAGTCATTGTCCCAATTATTGATCAAACTTTACATTCTCTTTGGGGACAAGGTAAAGTAGAGAGTAGATTAAAGAAGAAACCAATTTTAGCAGAAAAAATTGGAGTTGGAACTGCCTAGAGAGGAAAATGACGGCAAGTAGCAAGGCCCATATCTCTGAACGTGTTCAGACATGGAAAGGCTGAAGGAAATCTGCTTAGGACTGGTTCTATGAGAATGTTGAAAAATAGCTTTGCTGGTTGGAATCTTCCAAGAATTGGCCTACTGATCAGTATTTTGTAATTCCTGTGAGACAGAACCTGGGTAGCAGTCCCTCATGGAGCTGTTGAAGATTGTGTGGGAGAGTAGGGATGTGTGTTTTGAGCAAAGGCTTGGTACAAGGCGCCAATTGCTTTACATCAGATGAGTCTTTGTCAGAGCTCAATCTGCTTGTGAATTATTCTGGAATCCATTCCCAGCAGCGCCATCTGTTCCCAATTGTTCTACCATCTGACCATTTACCCTCTGTCAACACTCCTTCCCTGGGCACTCCCGCTGCCAGTTAGAGTCCACCCATTGTCCAACCTGGATAAACTGAGTCTGATGAGAGACCTGGCAGGAGACAGGAGAGGAGGAGGGAAACTTTTCAATGCATTGGCATTCTGGGCCAAGATGTGTCTGGGGAGACCCAACCAAGCCTTCACACAGGACTTGGGGAGAGAGCATGTGGCCAAGCCAGAGCCATATTGTGCCCCAGGCAGTCTGATGGCTACACAAATAATATTGATGCCTTTTGTTTGGAAACTCTTTGTGGAGGCTTCCCATTTCCCAACAAGCCACGCTAAATGCTGGGCCTCCCCCAAGCACTTTGCCTCTTGCATAGTCCTGCAGCCAACTGTGCAGGCAGATGAGGGGCCCTGAATGATAATGAGGGGAATGGCTGGCATTCCTGAGGCACCCTGGCTCTGGGAACCCCGCCTTGGTTGCTAAGGAGCGTTGGAACTGTAGCTGAAAGGCTCTAACAAGAGGAGGGAGCGAGGAGAGGGAGAGAAGAAAGGCAAGCATTTGTTTTCAGAGATTCACAGTTCTCCGGCCAGCTCCAAAGCTGTCCAATTCCTGATCCCAATTAGAATATCAAACCCTGTTATTGTTTCTCTTAATAATCTTGGGAAATTCCTTTGAAGAGTCAGTGAGCACTTAGCAAACCTTTTGGATGGCGTGATCTGTACAGTTATGCTTCTGGTTGTGTGAACAGACCACGCCAAGCCTCCTGAAAACACCCTTTATTCAGGTCCCCAGAAGGCGGTCATGAGGCTGGGAGAACTAGAAGAGGGTAAAAGCTGTTGAGTTTTCAAAATGTTTATGTGAGAGCTCCATTGAACAGACGTTTTCCAGGTGCCCACTTGCTGGTGAATCTGGGCTTTGTGCTGGGGACAAAGACAAGCAAGACCTTGGTCCTGGCTTGGAGTGGCCTCGAGACTTGCCAGGGAGACAGACCACACATACTAATGAAAATTCTGTGGGTTATTTGCTATTACTGTGACCAGGAAAGCATGTTGAACTTGGAGTGTACGCTGGATTCTAATCCTGGCTTAGTCACTCCCGAGCTGTAAGTCCTTAGTCAAATGCATTTACCACCCTGAGCCTCAGTTTTCCATCTAGCCAATGGGCAGAGTAGTGCAACCTAGCTGGGGTATAGTGAAGAGTCAGTGCAGGTGAGAGAATGAGGAGAGGGAATGTGGAGGATATGGTTTCTGCCCTCCAGGATCCCACTAGAGTGAGTCAACTGTTGGCTTGGAAGGTGTCTGTACCTGGGAAAGGCAGTTAATGATTTGGACCACTGAATGGGTAAATGAAAATACTGTATAAGAATAAAGTACCAAGCCAGTTTCCCCTTATGGAGCATGTCTATGCAGCAGGTATAATGCTAGACAATCTGGAAGCATGATCTCCTTGAATATGAAGGCCTCTGTGTGGGAGGCAGTAAATTGCTCAGCATCACACATCTGAGGAAGAGTCTGTCCAGCTAGTGAGATCCAGCCTGTCTTCAGTGCTCTTTCCATCCTCAGAGGCTGAGGCTTTTGGACAGTTGGGAAAGACACAATTGACACCATGTCTTTCCAGGACATCCAGGGAGTTAATCAGTCTACTGCACAGACACTCATTTGGAAAGGTTTGGCTAGAGAAAGTTGGTCAAGACCACAGACACCAGACACCCTCTACCGAGTGCTGATTAGAAGTTCACAGTGACACAGCCATGAGGAGTATACGAAACACCACTGATCTGAGAAAAAAGAGAAAGAAGTAACATATTTTTTTCATAAGTAAATCATGGAAAACTCCTAACATAGAGGTCATAACAATATTTTGAAGTATGATGACCTTATAGCATTTTCCTGTTTGTGTCCAGTGGTTTGTTTTGTTGATTTAAACTCTACATTGTCAACTTGCTATCTAAGCTTTTCTCTACCACTTAAGTTGAATTTTGGTTCCTTTAATGTTTACTCAGAGAACTAATGAGTATGTACTTCTGTGATGTGCAAGTCTTTTGTGTGCTCCCCCACTCCCAGCCCTGCCTAGATCTTGGGTAAAGTAGTGGAGAATCCCAGACAGGAGATGATCCAAGAGCAATGATGGCTTGGCTCTAGAAGGCAGATAGATCTCAAAACTTGATTTTGCTGTAACGGAATCCTCACCTCTGTATGCCATCTCACACAGACTGTTGTTTAAGCTTCCTGATGCTTAGCAGCTAAGGGGAGGGACATAAGGAAAGTCCATCTTCTACTACTTGCAAAGGATTGTCCAAATGACATGGCTGTCAGGGTTTGTGACACTCTTCTGTAAAGATAGGATTACTCCTGTTTTACAGATAGAAAAGCTGGAGCTCAGGGAGATTCAACAACTTGCCAAGGCTACACCTGCTAATGGCCACAGCTGGGCTTTGACTAGTTTGAAAGCCTTTTCCTTTTCTACTCTCTGTTGAAGTGTGTGTGGTGGGGGTAGGGTGAGTAACTGTGGATCCAGATCTGGCCATGGCTTACAGAAGTATTCACTCAGTTAATGCTACAGAAGTACAGGGTATGCATGACCTTTAGTCACATAGCTCTGGGGACATCTTTCATGCTATGTCAATGGTGTCCCTTCTAGTTGTTTGACTTTTTGGGTGCTGAGGCTCTCATCTATTGGGAGCTATACTAGATGCCGGACATAAAGAATTGAGCAAAGTACAATCATTGCCCTTCAGCACCTTATGATTTAGTTTCTTAACCCCAGCTTCATGTTTCGGGCCTTCCTTCACCTCAATTCCTTTTCCAATCCATTTATCCACAGAGATGTAAGGTATACCAGGACGTTCTTAAGTATCATGCGACCAGTGCTTTCCAAAATGCCCTATACTTCTGGCCAATTGTCAATAAGCCCAACCCAGAAGCTTTCTTACTTTTCACTTCCCTGAGCCTCTGTTTCCTCATATGTGAACTGGACCTGTACAAACTGTCTTACTGAGTTGTCAGAGTTGTATGAAACAAAATATGTCAAATTCTTGGTGCACAGTAGTTGCCCCATGCACATTGAATTGTTTGACCTAACATTATAATTTTCCTCATTTGGTATATTTTTGCCAAAAGAAAGTCACATCACCCAGCCAGCGTGGCTCAGTGGTTGAGCATCAACCTAGGATCCAGGAAATGGTGGCTCCATTCTTGGTCAGGGCACATGCCGGGGTTTCGGGCTTGATCCCCAGTAGGGCTTGACTCTTTCATCATTGATGATTTTTATCTCTTTCCCTCTCCCTTCCTCTTTCTGAAATCAATAAATATGTATTTAAAAAAAGAAAAGAAAATGGAAAAGTCACACCTGTTGGCTTACTTCTCTGACCTAAAAGGCAGCTTGCAGGTCCAAGGGTTCTGGGATGTTAGAGAGGTGATCAGTCTGCCTCAAGAGGCATTTCTCTGGGCAACTCGAGGATTATAAAAACTAAAGCAGGTTAGACCAGAGGGCCCTTAGAGATCATTTGTTAGTGGATCTAAATTATTTTGTTCTTAAGGTTTTGTTCAAAAGATTTTATGAGATACTCTACAATATAAAATGGATAAAAGGGAGTGCTCAAGAGAGCTTCCTGTTCGCTTTTTCCCTTGAACCCAACTCCTTCATGTCGTCTCCACACAGATGAGAAAACCAGGACCCAGGTCGCTCAGCATTAGTGATGGTGCTGGAACACCTTTGTACCTGAAGTCCTGGACTAGTGTTCATTCAAGGAGCTCGCGCTGTGTGGTGTGATGCATGTGTGTGTGTGTGTATGTGTGCGTTGTGGAAGGTGCAGAGTTGTGGGGGGATGTTAAGGATAGAACTATGTAAACTGCAGCAAAGTAAAAGTTTTGCTTTATTTTTCTGCCAAAAGAAGTAAAGAAAATGCTATCCATTTCTAGAATCCTTTGTCCCAGGAGTCCCTCCTCAAAGCTTCTATCCAGTACTCTAGGAAAGCATCCCTGGAGACAGTGCAACATTATCTAGTTTTGTAGTAGAGAAAATATTGGGCTTGTTTAGAAAACCTCACTTGGAATTCTACTTCTTAGTATTAATATAATATATTGTTAATGCTTTTATTTTTCCTATAACGTGAACATCTTTCCCAGAATAGTGATTAGAAGAAGGGCTGACTTACTCATCCAACAACAAGATATTTAGGTCTATTATGTGACAGGCCTTTTGGGGAATTGACAACATCTAGCATGTTTTTTTACTATATGGAAAAACATAGTTTGATCAGCAATGTAGAAAAACTATGTAATATTCATAATAAACTTTATTAGAATAGAAGATTTTAAGAAATTGGGTTCTTTCCACTTCAGAAGAGAAAACCTGGTTTTCTCGGATCACTTCGAGCTGCTTATGAGCAAGCATCACAGCCAGAAACCAAGTCCAAGTCCAAAGCATCTACATTAGCTGCATGGGCCTCCACTCTGACAGCGTCTGCCTCCACCGCTACACTCAGGCTGGGCATAAACACGCGTCTGGGTAAAAAGGGAGATAAAGGAAACATCTGTTCTCACAATATGGGCTTGTTATCATAGCTCCTTTAAGTACCGGAGTGCTGGTTCCAAGAGCATATTTTCTCCCGAACGAAATCTCCTCAAGGCCTGGTCGATTTTCCGAGGGCTCAGGGACAGGTTGTAAATGAGGTTGTAGTTGTGAATGAGGCGCCTGGCTCGCTCCTTCTCCAGGGCTCCTGTGATTAGGTTGGGTTGGTGGGAAGTTTTTAAAAGAGGGCACAGAGAACAAATAAGAATAAAAAATCTATTAGCTTGAATGACTTCAGAGTAAACATGGAATGATAATACTTGAATCTTTAAGCTTCTTAAAATCAATCAACACCCTAAAAAGATATTTCCAGTCCCGGTTGCATTATAGATGTCAGGAGGATTTTGAGGGTGGCTTTAGGGAGACGGGATGGGGGTCCATAAAATCTGTAGACAGATTCTAAAGCAATTTAAGCTTGTTTGTGGCCATAAAACTTTAAAAGCCAAGTTTTGAAACAGGTGGGGTGTCTACTTTAAACAATTTTTAATGGTTCTGCTTCATTTTTATCTGTGAAGCATCCAAACATATTCTTAAACATGCAGAATTCAAAAAGCACATTTTTATGCATCTCTGGGAATGTGTTTACTGTGACTCCCTCCAGCTTGCTGTGTAATCACAGGGAAATCATATAACTTCTTGTGGCTCAGAGTCTGAATCTGCCCAACAGAAATGGTGGTGTTTATCATTATAGGATGTACTCTGGTACCTACTTGTTGTATATACCAGTGCCAATGTGTCTTCTATGGTAAGGTTAGATAGATTTCAATAGTTGTGAAGAGTTTAGGTGTAGAACATAGCATCAGCCAAGATCAACAATTCATTCATATGCTCCTAATTGTGAACTTACATATGTCAGATACTGTGCTTGGGAATATAGAGGGTTTAGAAAGGTGGCCTATTACCTCAGGAAGCTCCCCAACCAGTTGGAGCTAAAAGATTTGCAAAAAGTTAACTAAAGTGCAACAACAATAACAACAATGACTGATACTTATATATAAAAGTCATCATGTTTCAGGCACCCCAGCATTTTACCGACAACAATTCATTCAATCCTTCTGAGAACCCATTTTACAGAGAGAGAAACTGAGACAAGGAGATAGTAAGACACTTGCTCAAGGTTGCTTTGCTCGAGTCCATGCATTAAATCACTCCACTAGATTATAGAATTAGGGCGATGAGATTGTTTCTAGTCAGGCTCATATTGTTTACTAGATATATTCCTTGATTGTGAAGCTCTATGCTACCAGTGTCAGTGAGAAGATTTTAAATATCTCCTAGAGGGAAGAAAGGTACATCCCTTGCATATTGCTTTATTACTTTCCTGTACTTGTGCAGACTGTAATAATGATTGTGAAATTCTTTCTCAAAGGACCCATAGGCAGTCCCCTGGTCATTTACCCAAAGCTACTGCCAGTCCATAAGAGTGAGGTCTGCGGAAACCTGTCATCTCTGTTTAAGTTACCAAGTGCTGTTCGTATTTGAGCGTGCAAGGAATGCTGAGCAAGATGCCCCCCTGAACTCGCCTCTAATAGGTGTTCTTAACAGTGGACTACCGACAGGTGGTCCTAATGTGATTTCTTCATTCACTTCTCGTCTGTCCAGTCCTATTCTATAGTCCACCCCATCCTATCCCAGCTCGTTTGTTTCTCTCCTCTCAGATTTGTTTATTGTCTCTCTCTTCTAGTAGAATGTTGGCCCTTTCCTCTGCAGAAATCTCTTTCTTGGATGTTGGCCAAGGGCATCTCTGCAGATCTCTGGATTGGCTGCTGGCAGTCTGGCTTGGAATCGATCCCTCAGGACACTTTCTTATACCCTGCCTTTGGAGTGAATGTCTGTCTTGGAAAATTACTTTAACCTTTGAGCCTTGATTTCTTCGACTTTAAAGTAGGGATAATGAAATTGTATAAAAATCAATAAAATAGTAAGTGCTTAGCAAAATGCTCAGAACTAGTAAGCACTCATTAATGCAGGTATTATCATAAGATAATTAGAATAATTATAACATCAACATTATTTAAAATATATAAGAATGTATCTTAGTAAGAAATTATTTTTAAAATATACATATAATTTAGTTTATATTTTAATTTAAAATTTAAAATCATGTTAAAAATACATTTAGGAATCACCACTGGTGTGTGTGGGGGAGGGGGAGGGCATTTCCTATTTCCTAAGATTTACCATTGGTAGGGGATCCCTACTGTCAAACAAAAGTCTGTTGACTGCCTTCGCTGGATGGCTCATTTGGTTGGAGTGTTGACCATACATCAAAAGGGTGCAGGTTCGATTCCCAGTCAGGGCACATACTTAGGTTGGGGATTTGTTCCCAGTCGGGGTGAGTATCATATGGGAGGCAACCAATCGAAGTTTCTCTCACATCGGTGTTTCTCTCTTTTTCTCCCTCCCCTCCTCTCCTCCTTCCTCTGCCTCTAAAAATTAATTAAAAAACATATCCTTAGGTGAGGCCTAAAAAAAAGTCTATTGACTGGTATTTGTATCTGTCTAATTTACTGTCATTAGGGGCTGCCCAGGACAGCTGCATAAAGTAACCCTTACAATCCATCTTAGTGATGGAAAGCTCGTCCTTCCCCCACCAGAATCAAAATGAAAGAAATAAGAAGAGCCTCTCTAATACCTACTTCATTTTATAGTTCACAAAGAACTTTCAAATCTCATGTGATCCCTTCTCAAATCTGGCAGGTATATCATCTCATTATCAGTCTTCTTTTATAGAGGATGAACCAGGCTCACAGAATATAAGTGACTGGTTTTCAGGACTCAGAAATTGGTACCATCTGGACTTGAATCTAAGTCTTTTGGTAAAAACAAACAAAATGACAGATGAAACCTGATGTTCTTTCTGGTATTTCATGGGAATTCGGTGTAGTGGGAAGTCCAATGGATCTGGACTTGGATTATGGCTGAACTTCCTACTGTGAGCTTGGCTTTCTCCTCGGTAAATAAGGACACCACGTGGCTGATGTGAGGAGCTAGTGATGCGCGCCAAGTCCAGACCCACCCAGGGAGTGCCCTTGAGGGCTCTCATCAGAGTCTGCCACCTTGAACCCTAAAATACTTTTTATCTAGCCTTTAGTTCACTGGGAAAATTCCAAATCTACCATTCATCCAAACATTTATCTGAACCACCCTTCTTTCTTTAGAAAACATGACCAGTTATTCAGTCATTTCTTATTCCCTCTACTCAAGGATATTCTCTTGACAACTCTCATTAGAGAATAAGCACCAAGTAGGTTCCCAGAAATGCTAATTTGAGGATGGATCATCAGCCTTCATCTTGGATGGAGAACGCCCTGGTCTACATATTTCCTTGCACATGGTAAAGAACAGTGATTCATCAGTGGGCAAAGTAGGTATCATCTGCTCAGTGTTTAGAATGGGGCTGTGGTGCTCTGCTAAATACTGTGGTTAATAAACCAGCAATATGACTTCAGTTAACGCTCTTTCCTAATTAAAGATAGTTATAGATGTTCCCAGATCTGGCTGACACATTCCTTGGCTGTTGAGGAACTAATGAATTTCATAGAAACAGAGCAAACAGGCATAAATAGTGAAGAGGCCATAAGAAAGGCATTTCAGATCTGCTGGAATCTGCCTCCAAAGTCAACAAAACTCCGATTTTCCTCAGAACAGTTCAGAAGTATGAGAAAAGTCCCAGTCTTTGGGAAGTCCTTAGCAACTGAGTTTATGATCCATCATCCATCATCATAAATCAGCATTTGTTTCTTTAAAAATGTCTTATTTCTACTCAGTTTTTTGTTTTATTTTGTTTCATTTTTGTTTGTAACCTCACCACCCCTTTCACAGTCCTGGTATGAAAACTTAGATTCTCGTGATTATTTCAATAACCTTTTTATCTTCTCTTCTCCAGTGTCTCCCTTAAAGTACTTATCTCAGCTTTCCTTGTGTTCTCTTTTGGTGAACACCGGGTAGAGAATGAAACCCCACCCTGGCCCTCAGGATTCACAATAGTGTCTCAACTTCATTATCTAACCAACATGAACTTCCAGTTCTGACCTGTTCACTCTCTCCCCCTCATACTCATTCCCACCTAATCTTTGCAGAAGATGGTTTCAAACTTGGAATGCCCTACCCAGCTATCCAAAGTCTACCTCTCCTCAGGCTAATCTCAAGCTCTCTTTTGCATGGAGCCCTCTCTGAGTACCCCAGCTCACATTAGATGATGAGCTTCCTTTCATCTCTCTCTCTCTTTTCTTTGGGCTCTTTAACTCTTATTTGTGTCTCTAATTATAATACTTTAATATATACTGTTTTGTTTTGTTTTTTAAAAGATTGACATCAATTTACTGCTAATCTCTATGTTTTACCTTTTTACCTAAAAGCCCTTTGAGGCCAGAGACCATGTTTCATTCTTTCTCTTTTCCTTCCTGGTCCAGCTTCTGGAACAGGGCTGGGCTCATAAGAGATGTTTGTTTAATAAATGAGCTTCTAATTTAGCTAAATAAATGTTCATTTGAAATTTTTATTTTTCCTTCGCTTTGTATAATTATTAAAAGTCCTTGGGCATCAGAGGGTAGTTATACTTCATGTGGTCTACATTTAACTTGCTTTGGAAATTCACACCAGAATGAAGCAAAAAGAAAAACACACATAGAGAATGAGAGCCAGGCATTGCTATTGTTGTATGACTGCACGTAGAGAGTACTAGTGCATATACTAGTTCTCCTTAAAAATTAATTACTTCCAGTTTTAAGGTGTAAAATGTGATAATTAGATACATGTGCATATTGCTAAATGTTTACCACGTAAGGTTAGTTAAAACACCCTTCACTTCACATAACTACCATTTTGTTGTCACTATTGTGGTGAGTTCGTGAAAGCTCTACTCTCATGCTTATGCTCAAGTATACAACAAATATTGTTAGCTAGTCACCATACTGCGCATAAGATCCTTGGGACTTAATTTGTCTTGTAACTGAAAGTTTGTCCCCTTGGACCAATGTCTCCCCATTCCCTTTAGCAACTACAGGTCTCTCCGTTTCTTTGAGTTCAATGTTTTTAGATGCCACATATAATACCCAAACTCCTCACGAACCACAGTATGTGATTAGATACAACGGTTCCGGTCCATATGCTGCTGTGTAAGCTCCTCGTTTCCATTCCCCTGTCTCTGAGCACTGGGACTCATCCTCTCTCACTTGGACATTGCAGTGGCCTCTTTTCTCTTTTTCCTGTTTTCATTTTCTCCTTTATTCATTCACAGTCATCAAGGATCTTTCTGAAATGCACTTTTATCATATGCTCCCCAGCTTAGAAACTCTCAGTGCTACTCACTGTCTTTGAATTAGGTCCAAATTCCCTGGTCCAGCGTCTAAGAGCTTCCGAGATATGGTCCTATCCCATATCTCCACCTTTATCATTTAATATTCTTCTTTTAAATTTTTAAAAATTATTTTATTTTTAAACTATTTATTTTTATTTTAAAATTATAGTTGACATTTAATTCTTCTTAACAGACCCTCTATTCTATCCAAACCAAGCTCCTTCTGTTGAGCTTTACATATAACACTTGGCTCGGCAATCCTGCACCTTTGCCAGAAAGGGCTGTTTCATTCCTTTGTATACAGACTGCATTTTCTCTTACTGATCCATTTCACACTATGACCCATTCCCTGATCTCCTCACTACGCAGGAGTCTCCTTTTTCTGAATGCCCACATAGCACACTCTAATGGCATTTACCACCTTCCGTCTTGAATTTAGTTATTTATGTACATTCATTCACTTATTTATTGCCTCAAAAATATGTTAAACAGAATTGTGCAAAGTGCTGGGGATTAAAAAAGGAATGTAGTCTACTGGTGAGATAGTACAAAGCCCTTAGATAAAAAAAATACAATATATCAAGTATGATAATGGATGTTAAAGAACTGTGAGAGGCCAGATAAAGGTTTGCTTAGATCTGTCTGGGGAAATCAGGGAAGTCTCAGAGGAGCAGAGCTTGAGTTCCAACATGTAAGATGTTTAGGCACTAATTAGCCAGGTGGACAAGATCAGCAGCTGTCAGGAGGTGGGGTAGGTAGACAAGAGGCAAACAGCTCAGATGGCGGGGGTAAGGTTAGGAAAGGCAAGCCCTAGAAGAAGCAAGGGAAGTCTGAGAAGGCAAGGCATTCGTTGCGACTGGGTAAGATACGATGAAAGAATAACAATTGAAGGAGAAGAGACTCGTCAGGTGGGCAGGGACCAGATTTTGCTTTCTAAGAAGCTTGGCGCTCAGCCTGTTAGAGGCAGGCCGAAGTGTTTCAATGAGGGGCATGAGCTTGGATGGTGGGCTAGACTCAGGCAGTGGCGCGGAGGGAGGGGCAGAGATACGCAGAAACTGTGAGCAACCTGGTGGGGGTTCGTTCATGTCTGATTCACTGCTCAGCACAGTGCCAGGTACATAATGTATATACAAATGGTGTTTGTTAAGAAATGAAAGAAAATGTGTCCGCTTTCAGACTAGAACGTGAAGAGAAAGGTGTATCAGTTGGAAGCGTCACACACGTCACCTGCGTTACTCAGATCACACAGGTAGAGGGCATTTTCCAGCTTCCTGAACCTGTCGATCCACGGCTCACATTCTTCACACTTGTTCTTCATGGCTGGACTCACAAAAGGTTGGGAGACTGGCCTGATCATCAAAGAGCTCAGGGGATCTTTGGGAACTGAAGTCTCAGCAGGAAGGTTTTCTGGCTGCAGCTCCTCTTCTGGAGGTTTCTACCAAAAACAACACAAGCATCTCACTGGCAACACATTCACCACCCAGAGCTCCTCCAGTCTTTTGGCCAAAGATGAGGCCACACAACGAGTAAGATTTCCTGCAAGGCCTGGCTTTGTAAAGCTAGGAGGACGCGTTTCAAATCCCCAGTGCCAAAGGACCAGATCGGCCAAGTCTTGTCAGATATAAACTATGCTGAGTGCTTTTTGGGTTTTTTTTAAGAAGGATGAAATCATGAATTTTATTCAGTTTGCATTTCTGATTTATATAAAGCAAAGTTTTTATAACTAGCTGAGACTCTTCATGATGTTCTACTCTGTTTCGTATTAGTGGCATCCACAGGGCATGGATTTCAGGAAATGCTTTAATTTCTTGGTAGGAAACCTCTGGATCATGAATGTGAGTTTCTTGACAAAGAATGATTGAAACAGTAGTGCTATTACTTTAGGCTTAGTGGGCTCATTATAGCAGACCATAAAGCACCTCTCGTTCTGTCTGTCCCAGTCATTGAACAAAGGAAGCTGAGGCCCAGAGAGTGGAAGTGACTTACTAAGATCATACAGTGAATGGTAGACACAAAACTAGAGCAAGGGTCTAGAGGTTATGTCTAGTTCATCTTGGTATTGTAACCCCATGGTCAGTATACAATAGAGATGTTTGTTTTTTTTTGTTTTGTTTTTTAGAATAAATAGACAAGTCCCAGCAGGGCCATGTAAGACATCCTGTCACCTACCATGTAGAGAGAGTAGGCTATGATTTGATCTGCCCAACTCCACTTTTCTAGGTATTGCTGCTCTCTACATGGTTGTAGAGAGAACCGACATGTGTCTAAGTACTTAGTATAGGACTGTGCACCTAATGAAACATGAATCAATGAACACATTGTCCAGTGATTTTGGAAGCATTTGTGAGAGGCAAAGACAGAGAGATAGACAAATGGAGATTACTGTGCATGAGAGGTAGGTACTCTAGCAGGGTTTCTACTGTATAGGAAATGAGCAAAAGCTGGTCTGCTGAGAAAGATATAGATAGATAATAGATGACGATGATGATGATAGATAGATGATAGATGATAGATAGATAGATAGATAGATAGATAGATAGATAGATAGATGATAGATAGATAGATGATAGATGACAGATAGATGACAGATAGATGATAGATAGCAGATAGATGATAGATAGATGATAGATAGATAGATGATAGATGATAGATAGATAGATAGATAGATAGATAGATAGATAGATAGATAGATAGATAGATATAGAGATATGAAGCTGACAGCAGAGAGGAGAGAATAGATATGGGAAGTTATGATGATGTTGAAGTTCCTGATTTTAGTTCATTGTCACATTTCTAACTTCAGGTAGTATAATATGCTTCTCTATCCATCCAATAAATTGTGTTGGTAGAGTCGGTTCTCTTAATTGCTACCGAAATAATCTTAACTAATTCACCACAGAATTACGCCTCTAACTTTTGTATACGATCTGTGCGTCCCCCAACTTTCAAATACCTGAGTTTTTCCAACTTTGTACCTTTATCCCAAACTTCTCACATATAAGCTATGGAAATCCTGTAGCTCTAACCTAGTCATTGCAGTAAGAAGCCAAGTTTTGAGTTTGTTAGCAAACATGGATTGAGCTGCTGCTAGGGATGGGAAAAATTGTTTCATTTGAAGAAAAAGAATGATATATGAACTTGTACCCATATAGATGACCAGCAACCAGTAAATTTTAAGAGATTAACATAAAAAAATTCCACTTTGATAAAATTGATTTTGGGAAAGGCTGCAAGTTTCCTAAAGAAAACCAAGCAGTGAGTCTTAGACTTGTTAGAGCTTTGGACCATTTTAGAAATCCGAAGGAAGCTTTAGATAACCTACCCAGGTGAGTGCACATTTGCAGACAGCTTGGTGGGTATTTAGAGAGTTCAAAGAGATCCTTGGATGTGAGAAACTGATTCTAAATAACTTGGTATTTCTTCAGATAGTTCAACATTTTGTTTGACCACTAAAGACAGGGAAATGGGAAATTTGTATGGACCTGAATTAAGCTCAACTCAGTCACTCAGTCACTCAGTCACTCACTCACATACTTGATACTGTTCTGGTCCCATTGTATCCNTCACTCACTCACTCACTCACATACTTGATACTGTTCTGGTCCCATTGTATCCAAATGAAATCCAAATTCCTTTCTTGGCACCTAAGACCATTCAAGTGCTTGTTCTTGCTCAACTTCTTTCAGTCCTACTTACCCATCTCTTTCCCCAGCCACACAGAATCGGAAGAAAATGAGGCAGCCTCATTCCTTATACGTGCTGTTCCTCTTCCCCCTGTGCCTTGATGGGCGGGCTCCTCCTCCTCACCCTTCAAGGCCCAAGTCGTATTGCACTTCCCGCGGGAAGCCCTCCCTGACAGCTGGGTGAGGGGCAATCCTTTGCAGCCCCTTTATCCACACAGCACTTCCACGGGCTATTGCAATAGTCCTTAGAGTCCCTCTCTCCTCCATCAGAGATCTGGGGACTGGGCCTGTGACATCGTCACTTGTGGGTCTTGGGGGTCTTGTTAGCAGCTGGCACATGGTTCTCAAGACACGTTTACTGAATGAATCAGTGAAAGAGTGAATGCTTTTCTCTGGGGCAGTAGGAAAGTTGCTTTACCAACCTCTGCTTCAATTTCCCTTTCTGAAAAGTGGGACGATGAATGCTGTCTATAGGGGGAGGGCTGCGAGAAGAGTCAGTTCCTGCCGAGATGCAGCAAACCCTCCAACAAGAGGCAAAATAAAAGAGCAAAGTGTATTTTTCATAATCTCATTCACAACAGACGTAACACTCAAGGAGAAAAGCATTTGCTGTTGTTTCTTGTGTGGCAAGCGGCTTGCCAAAATGGATACTATTTTTCTAAAATATTTCAAAGTGTGAAGAGCATGAAGAGGCCTCCCGTCATTTTAAGATGAATTATGTTCTAATCTGGGCATTTAAAAAACAACAACAACAGAAAAACTCAGGCTAGTTTTCAATTCTGTCTGCATCTTCTCCTGGCTAAGTGCTGGGAATATTAAAACAGATTGTAACTTCTTGCCAGATTTTTTTTTTTTTTTAAAGCAAAGAGAGAACCCATTATATTTTAAAATGTGATGCCTGGTGAAAAGGTCACCCTCAGTTTCTGGAAACTGGACTGAAGATGTTAAAATAGGTCTCCTCACCACCCTTTATTTTGGTGGCAGCTGTTGGATTGCTCACAGGCTTTGGAAAGACACCTGTACACATGCTAGAGGTCCAGTTTCTTGGGGCAGATGGCACGCCTGTCACCAAGTGGTGATGAGGTCCCTGCATGCATACCGACCAGGACAGGGACCAGCCCACACTCTAGGACTTCTGCTTCCCTTCTCTACCGGAGGAGTCTCAAAGTCAGAGACAATCTGACATCAAGGCATTGGGTGGAAATAAAAAACTCAGAAGGGAGGGCCCCACCAGGGCCCCACTCAGCACCAGAGACCAGAAAGGGAAGGATGGGGGAAGCCCTTTCCCGAGCTCTGTATACCCAGGGGAGTACCGCATGGTCAGTGCTGCCTCGAGACATCTCAGTAACTTCGGCCTGCACTGGAGTGGCAGAGGTTTCTTTTCCAATCTTTCCTGGGTGAGAAATAAAAAGTGGAAGGGTTTAGTTTGGTCTCTACATTTTAATACATACACGCATACCCCCAGGCAAAGAAGATATTGAGGCTCTGCTCTGTGGGTGGCGCTGTGCTAGGTGGCGGGGATACATGGGCAGATAAGAAGATCAGGTTCCCGTCCGAATGAAGCTCTCGAAGGGGAGGCAGATGCTAAATAACTGCTCAGAATGATCATTTAATTGCAAACTATCATAAACACAACAAAGAATGTGAAAATATTTATTTATTTTTAATATGTTTTTATTGATTTCAGAGAGAGGAAGAGAGAGGAAGAGACAGAGATAGAAACATCAATGATGAGAGAGTCATTGATCGAGCCCACAACCCGGGCATGTGCCCTGACCGGGAATCGAACCCCGATCGCCTGGATCCTAGGTCCACTCTCAACTGCTGAGCCACGCCCGGCTGGGCAAGAATGTGAAAATACTTAAACTCATTTTGGGGTATGTTTGAGAATGGTAGAGGGTTAAAGAAGGCTTCTTAGAGGAAGTGACACTTAAAATTGGGGACCTGGAGGATGAGTAGGAGTTTCCAGGCAACTCCAGGTGGGGCGCACATGGAACAGAGAGCTCCAGATAAGCACAGACAATGGCTTGTAGGACCACCCTGAGCCTGAAGGGCTTTCACCGTCTGGAGAGCGGGAAGGGACCTCTTCTGGAGGCCCTGTCTCTTAACACAGAAGCAGGCACTTCTGCCCTTCTCTCCACACAGGTGTGCACCTGAAGGCTCAGGTAAAACCTTTGTATTCTCCTTTCCTTGCTCCTTTCAAAGGTCAGAGATCCTGTGCAGGAAGATGTTTGAATAGCATCTTTAGCCCAGAGATTCTACAGTCCAAGTATAACTTGCTCAGTTGTCTGCCTTCATGGACAGAATAGATTTCTTTAGGATGCAGGAAAAAGACATGAAGACCTTCTGCTGAAATCCTTCAAGGCTTATTGTGGGTACCACTCACTCATCACTCAGTACCTTCCATCAGCCTGGGGACTCATTTATTTAAAAAATCTGTGCGATGACCACACAGCACATATTTCTGGGCATTTCAGCTTCAATGTTTAATGCATGATACAAACATGCCATTAAGAAATACATATTGCTTCTGAGTTGGGTTTCACTATTTTCAATAAAAATGAGCCAGTAATACATTTTAATCAAGAGGTAGAGGGCAACACTGTACCATAGTGGTAGAGGGTAGAGGCTCTGAAGCCAGAGAACTTTGGTTTGAGACCTGACTCCTTTCTCTACTGGCTGCATGACCTTGGGCAAGTTACTTGTCCTCTTTGTGTCTCAATTTCCACTTCTGTAAATTGGAAATAATGCCACCTATAGGTTATTGTAAGGATTAAATGAACTAGAAAAGGTAAAGCAAATGCCTGGAGCATAGCAAGTGCTCACTAAATGTTAAGTAATTGAGTTACCAAGGCAAGGATGTTTATATAAATAAACTCACCTATCAGATTAAAAAACCTTTTGTTAGACTTTTAACACTGCACCTGCGAATCATTATGAATCTTCTCCCTCAGTTTCTTGATGGAGAAAACAATGTGATGTCATAATCTTCTCTGAAGCCCCAGCACCCTGCAGTAGACTAAGGACTCAATGCATGCTTGTTGACTAAGTGAATAATCATGTGCCTTAATTTGGAGTCTGGTAAATAAAATCACTAATCTGCTTCTCCAATTTCTTTTCAGGCCCTAGAAGAGAAGGAATTTTCTCTGTACTTCTTTACCCTCCCATACTTATTCCAGATGCTATACAGAGTAAAACTTAATAGATGCTTAATGAAGATCATGATGACAGTCAGTTAGGGCAGCCCCTTCCAGGCAGATCTCGTTTAATCTGCTGAAAACTTAAGCTGTCATGGGAACCCATCATCACCTAGGAGCAGTGGCCCCTGCTTATTTTACCCAGATTGTGAAAGAAAGTTTTCTGTTTCCTGTAAATGAACAAAGCTTCAAATTACCCTGAATCACAGAGTTGGGGAATTAAAGGGATTCGAGAAACAGTACATAGCATAAGGGCAGAAAGATGAATTTTGCTGTCAGACCTGAATGCTAATTCTGCTTCTTCCCTTTATAAAGCTTTTTGATTTTAATTCTGTCATTTGTGAAAAGGGGATGATACAAGCAATTTGCAGTAATGTGGGGATTTAAAAAATTTTGCCTTAACACAGCGAAGATGCTCAATACAGAATTTATTATTTGTTGTTGTGTTACTATAATTTTAAGGCCTTAAGAAAACCTAGTTTCCCTGGGGCAGAGAACTTAACATTAACTATGATGTGCCAGGCATTTTTCTGGGCACGGTTCCTATGCATTATCCCTCTTAGTATAAGATCTAGAACCTAGACTTTGTCCTGGTTCAGGTTCTCTTTATCGTCTACACTTCTAAAAGTTCCATTAGCAGAAAATACAGGCTAGTCTTCCTGGCCTCTTTTAAGCTTCCCTGTCTCCTTCTTAATACTTATAAGCATATAAAAAGGTAATGATTTGCACATGTAAAAATCATTTGAGAAACTCCAAGGCAGAGCTATTTTTTTTCTTTCTAACACAGCAGGAAGGATAAATAATAACCATCTGTCTAGTCTGCCAGTTGAAGATTTGTACTGGAGGAAATCAGCCAAGCTGGCTTCTAGAGATTTCCAGGTGTTGGAAGGGTCAGGTTTTACAGGGCTTCCCGTGGATTCCGATAGTTACACAACCAGTGCTCCTGTTCCTTCCCCCACCACCCCTCCCACTAATGACTTGAAATCAGTGGTCTTCAGTGCTGGCTGCTAATATGCTCATACTTGGGGAGCTTTAAAAATGACCAATTCCCAGGCATCACACCAGACCAATTAAATCACAATCTTTAGGGGTGAGAACCCAGTGCAGGACTTGTAAAATAATTCCCTATGTAATTTTAAAGTGAAGCCAGGGTAGGTAGCAACTGATTTAAATAATGGATTCTGGCCTCACTGGACCTACTGAGTGAAGTTTTTGTGAGAAGGAAACCAATGAATGTCAAATACCTATATATGCCTGACACTTCCCACATGTTTTCCTACTTATTTAAAGAATAACCCTGTGAGGTAGAAACTGCCTCCATTATATAGATGAGAAAATTGAGGCAATGAAAGTTTCAGTTACCTGCTTATGACAACAGAGGTAGAGGTAGGCCTGGGGTTCTAACTCATTCATTTATTCAACAAGCATTTGTTAAGTGCTTACTTTGTGCTAGGCATTGTTCTAGGCACCATGATACAACAGTGAAGAAGACATAACCTTCTCATGGGGTGTGCATTCCAGTGGGGTTGGGGGGAGGTAAACAAGTAAATATGTAAAATAATGTCAAGTAGTGAGTACAACTAAACCAATTATAGGTGTAGAAAGTAATGGCAGTCGCTATTTTAGAGAGGGAATTTGCCAAAGGTCTCTCTGAAGTGAAATATAAATAGAGTCATGAGTGAGAAAACAAAGGAGAAAAGCATAAAAATGTCTGGGGAGAGAGGATTCCAGAAAAAAGCTATGATAAGGGCAAGGATCTCAAAGAAGGTCTGCTCGGTGCATTCTAGCAATAGCTGAGAAGAGAGCCTCGCTGAGCCAGAATGAAAAGGAAAGGGAGATGGATTAAGTATTCACGCAACTAGAGGGCAGCATGGGCCATGCATGTGACGGGAGCTGGGAGGGTTTTTCGCTTCCCAGCATTCATTCCTTCTCTGGTATCAGTCCCGTCATTACCCTCTTATAGTGACAGCAACTGTGTTTTGCTTTGCGAGGACCGCTCCTTCCCATCCCAGTGCTGTGGTGGGGCAGGAATGTCTCAGCTCCAGGCTTGGTCTCAAATAGTTGAAGACTAGGGTGGGTCTTAAAAGCAATGAAGAGTGATGTCTTTATAAGAGAAAAGAGAGAAAAATTTAGAAACAGAGGCACAAGAGAGACACAGAAGGAGGAAAGCCACAGGAAGGCAGAGGTGAGGTTTGGAGCTATGCAGACACAAGCCAAGGAATGCCTGGGGCCCCCACCCCTGGAGGAGGCAAGGAAGGACTCTTTTAGAGCCTTCAGAGGGAACATGTCACGGCTGACATGATTGATCTCAGACTTCTGGAAGAATGAGAGAATAAATTCCTATTATTTTAAGCCGCCCAGTTTGTGGTAATTTGTTACAAGGCCCTAAGGAAATGAATACACTCACCACCCTCTTTTTGCCCTCAGTCTCCCAATGTTTGTATAACCGATCCTCCAATTTCCTGCTGTGAGTTCCCTCTGTTTGACATACCTAGTAAGGTTCCTGTTTTTCTGCTGGAATACAAACTGATATTCTGCCCCACCCCCAAACTCTTAGTACCTTGCATTTTGATCCAAAGGTAATCAGTAAATGGTTGATGGAGATAGTAACTAGAGAAATTGTAAGAGCTGATTAATATCAATGCATATTTTTTCACCTGTCATGTTTTATTTTATTTTATTTTATTTTTAAAAATATATCTTTATTGATTTCAGAGAGAGGAAAGGAGAGGGAGAGAGAGAGAGAGAGAGAGAAACATTAATGATGAGAGAGTCATTGATGAGCTAGCCCGCAACCCGGGCATGTGCCCTGACCGGGAATTGAACCCCGATCGCCTGGATCCTAGGTTGACGCTCAACCGCTGAGCGTCCGGNTGTGCCCTGACCGGGAATTGAACCCCGATCGCCTGGATCCTAGGTTGACGCTCAACCGCTGAGCCACGCCCGGCCGGGCTCACCTGTCATATTTTAAACTTGCCAACTGCTAAATATTTTGCCCAACTCACCCTTATAATTTCACTTAATAATATGCCATGGAAATCTTCCCGTATCAGGCTAGCCATGTTATTACAGTTACATAGTTTTATCTATTGGATATACTGTAATTTAAGTAAATGACCCCTAAAGGATCTTGATATTACTTTCATTTATTAAAACATTAAAAAATTGCTGCCATAAACATATATATGTAAATCTGGGAGAGTTTTTTGTCAGCTATCAGTCAGATAGGTAACCAGCTACGGGATTCCTAGATCTAAGGGACTGTGCGACTAAAATTTCAATAAATAATACCAGCTTCTATAAATGAGCTGCATTCACCATAAAGATCTATCACTAGAGAATGCTTCATGATATAATAAAAACTGGAGAGTTACGCATTTTATGATCTGACTGGCCTAAAAGAATAGTCATTAAGGTGATTCTCACTCTTATTTTTTCTGCACTGGTGAGCCATATACATTTCTGGGAGCAATAAGATCAAATCCAACAAGCAAACAGCTGGAGCTGAGCATTAGAGTCAACAATAGCTCTGGGAAGCAGGAGGTCCCTGGAAGAATAATATTACTGAGCTCACCTGTAGGCAAATCAGATGACAAATCAGAGGAAGCTCTGTTCAACAGCTCAACAAAATTCTGCCATCTGTGCAAAAAAGGAGACAAAATGTTGGTGGTCAGTATCATTGCTCTGGAAAAATGTGCAATAAAGCTCCAAGTCTATATTGATAGTTTTGAAGGAGCTTTTTTTTTTTAATCTTCACCTGAGAACTTGATTAGAGAGAAGAAAGGAGAGAGAAAAATCTCTGTGAGAGAGAAACATTGGTGGGTTCCCTTCCAGAAGCTTCCTGACTGGGTATCAAAGCCTCAACCTTTCAGTGCACAGGATGCTCAACCAGCTGAGCCACTCTGGTTGGGCTTGAAGGAGCTTTTTGACACATTACTCAGGAAGCAATGCAGGAAACAAAAGCTCCTCTACGTATCTCCACAGGAATGGGCTTTAATATAAGGAATTAGGCGGCCACAAAATGACTATACAGGCCAGTAGAATGGAGGTTGATTTCTGCTGCTAGGCTCAGGGTCAGGGCCTCAGCAGATATAGCCTAGAAGCCAGGGACTGCAGAAATTCTGTCTCATGTCTCAGTTGCCCCTGACCATGAGGTTGGTGACTAGGAAGTACAAACTGCATTTTGGCCACTGGAAAACTGATGCCTGCCAGGATCTAGGGCTCTTACTATGGCAGGAGAATAAATAAATACTTAAAATATCTTTGTCCCTCTTCCCACTCCCTTCTGTCTTTCAAATCTCATGCAATTGCATCTCTCTGATGGAACGTAAATCAATTCCAGAACCTTGGTGTTGAGAGAGTTTTGAAAATGTCCTTTTTAGCCTTCCCAAGTATGGGAAGTATTGCAACATAGGAAAAAACAGAGGAGGGAGTAGCAACGAGTGCTGGGTGCAAATAGACAATGTTTAGTAAAGTCCCTAAGCAGAAACTACATTGAGCAATACATCAGCATGTGATGATCTGGGAGTCACTTAAGCTTACAATACTTTAGGAATGCTTTGGTAGTGAAAATCACTTATATTTGCTTGCCATCCATGGACCTCAGGCAGTCTGCCTAAGGCCCCTGTGCCTAGCCACTATCCTATAAACTTGAGAGTATCACAGGGCTTGTAGGAGAGTCAGTATGGTGTATTAAGAGCAAAGACCCTGAAGCTAGAGAACCTGCATTTGATTTAGCCTATTGATAAATTCATTTATCAGTTACATATTGATTTTAGCCCCTCTGTGCCTCTGTGCCTCAGTTTCCTCACCTGCAAAACAATAGTACCAACCTCATGGGGGCCCTTGCAAAGGTTAAAGGCATCAATATTTATAAAGTACTTAGAACCTTGCCTGGAATATAGTAAGCACTCTACAAATGTTGGCTATTAACACTAACAATAACTTTATTATTATTATTATTATCTTCATTTCCTATGAATTATGGGCTTCTGGAAGAGAAGACTGGAATTAATGAACTCTTAAAAGCCAGGTCCAGTTTCCAAGACCGAATCAATGGGTAGATCCAAGCCACATCTCTAATAGCCCGCTGCTTAACAATTTTCCTATTCTCATTAAAAAGTAATTGCTGAATCAGACACCTCATGTTTCCTTTATCTCCTAAAATCCTCTGGCTGTTCCTGGGATTATCAAACCAGTCCTTTTCAACCTAATTGCACTCTCAATAATGGGCCAGATGCGTAGGATAAGTCCTACTTGTGGCTGTGTCAATTGCTCCACTCTATTTACGAAGCCTCCATAGCAGCTTCATTATTTATCCCCTACCCCAACACAATTTGGCTTGTGTGCCTGTGTTTTAAACTGGGTTCGAAGCATTTAATTTTGCCAATACAATTTTAGAGTATTAGTTTGCCTCCTGTTCTCTCTCGGCCCTCCTTAATTACCATTTATTGCAAAGTCACACGGAAACATTAAATGCTAATTCTGACTTACATGTTCCTGGCCAAGAACAGGGATAATAATTTCCATCCAACACAACCTGAACTCATTTTACATCAGGGTGATTCAGAGTAGAGATTTGAAATTGCAATCAAGTCTTTCTCAAAATCGCCTTACCCTGGCAGTCATTCAGCAATGTCTCTGCTAATTGGTAGGCAAATTGCAAAAAATAAAATTTCAATGTTACAAAAACACACACACACAAAGCAACAACTTTGCAAGAGCATTCACGAAATTGCTCCTCTCATCAGCTCTTGCAACGTGACACTTTAAGAAGAGAACACAATTCATTTTATTTGGTTAGATGGGGCTAATCCCACATCACCATAATCCCTCCTGATGTTTTATTGATTCTAAAGGACATTTAATCAGGAAACAGCTCAGCACTAGAATCCTGCTAATTAGCAAGCAGCCACATTCCAAATGGGTTCCCAATTGAACAGCAGATTAATGGACAATATGTACTAAAATAATGATTCGTGCATTCAGCTCCTGAAATGTGTGTCTAAATTGCATCTTTAATCTCTTAAGGATATAGGCTTGCATACAAAGCCCTTAACGGAATGGATTTCATTCACCAGAAGAAGCTTTAGCCAATGGCTGTTTAAGGATGAAACAGGTTTATCACTTACACATCCAATTCTTCAGTGGTTTCGTGGTTTCGATGTCCTTGAACATTCAAAGGTCAAAGACAGGTGAATAAAGAGATCAGTGTGCTTCTCTGATATGCACATGAAACAGTGGGAAACTGAAAATACTGATATAATTAGAAGTAGCCTAACGTCATTTGCTTCCCATTCACTCTTACTCTCAGATCTCTGATTCTTTGAATCTTGGTTCTGAGCACCAACTTTTACTCAAGTACACTCTATACCAGGTGCAATGCAAGCTTTGATACTTTCATCTCCTCCCTTTATATTGCTGCCTTTGGGGGCCTCCCAATTTTAGCTTATTGGTTTTCCACTTGGCTCTTAGTCCATTTCTCTCCACCCTCACCCAGCAACCCCCCAAGGTTTCAGAAAAGAGAAACTTCCATGTCCAAAGCTGGTCTGGCAGAAATTCATGGACTAAGCTCAACCTTCTATCATCATTCATTTATCAACTGGTGCTTCCCTTAACCTTGACCCTTCTTAGTTTTCTGTATTACTCCTATCGCCATGTGATACATCACATATGCCGGTTTGCTCTTCCTCATTAGAATCCAAGTTTCATGAGAGAAGGGGCTTTGTTTTATTCGGATCTATACCTTGAATGACTAGAAGAGTGACTGGTGTACAGCAGGTACTCAATAAGTGTTTGTTAAATAAATAAATGAATGAATTCATCAACATTTACTGTGTACCTGCCATGTGCTGGATGATACCAGCCTACAAGATGTTGAGAATAAAATGTGAAGGAAACAGTAATGTTTTTTACCAGCATGGAGATCACTATTTAGACGTTAAACTAACAAATCACACAAATAAACACATACTTACAAATTGTGATAAGTGCTAGGAAGTATAGTAATAAGGGATCTGACTTTTATGAGGTGGTTAGAAAAGGCCTCCTTCAATTTGACCATGAGCCAGGGACTAGGCAGAATTCATGTATCTATATCCTTAAGAGTATTTTGAGACTATTCCTTTTCTAGTTCAATTCAATTCCATATTTGTTGAATACCTACTATGTGCCACACATTGCTCTAGACCCTTGGGATACATCAATAAATAAAGCAAAGTTCCTGCCTGCCCTATGACACTATAGTCTATCAGAAATCAACAGACAACAATGAACATCACACAGCGGCAAATCACTAGACTCATCAGAAGTTGGTAAGTGTGTAGAAGAGTGCAAAAGGAAAGCAGGTTAGGGTAGGAATGGATGGGGACTACAACTTTAAATAGGGTGTTTAGTGTAGGCCTCATTGATAAGGTAACATTTGAGCAAAAACTTGAAAAGTGGAGTTAGCATGGCTCCTCTGGGGAAAGAGCATTTTAGGTAGAGGAAATATTTGGAGGTTAGGTGCTAAGGAGGATGTAGGCCTGGTGTGTTCGAGGAAGACAAGGGGAACAGTGTGACTAAAACATAAGGAGCAAAAAAAGTTGTAGATGGAGCCAGAGAAGTGATGGGGGAGGAGATCACATAGAACACTTTCTAAGGACTTGGATTTTTTTAAACCTCTGAGTGAACTAAGATACCTTTCAGTGTTATGAGCGAAACAATGACAGGAACTCTTTTAGGTTTTAATAGGTCACTATAGGTGCTGTATTGAGGATAAACTAGGAACAAGGAAGAAGAGTGTTCAGTTAGAAGGTGATTCTAGTAACACAGAAGAAAGATAATGGTAGCTTGGATGGGGTGTAGTTAAGTACCAATATGTGAAGATGGTGAGAAATGACCAGGTTCTGGACACATTCTGAACATAGAGTTGATTTACTAACGTATTACTGATGCATTAGATGTGAAATGTGGAAAAGGGAAAAGCCAAGGATTACTGGTATGTTGTGTTTCCATTTTACTTCAGTAAAACATGTTCTATAATTTCCCTTGTGATTTCTTCTTTGACCATAGGATTTAAAAGTATATTATTAGACTGGGGTTATTGGTTTTGGCTCTCTTTATATCTTCCATATCTCATTATGCTCCTGCTTTTATGAGGATGTGAAGTGTATTTATAACTGCTCTTTTAATGCCCTTATCTACAATTTCTGTCCTCTCTGTTTATGAATTTGCTTCTATTCATTGGCTTTTCTCCTAATAATAGATAATACTTTTCCATCTTCTTTTCATGCCTCCAAATTTTTGTATGAATGCCAGAAATTATGAATTTAATATTTTTGATATTTTTAAATTCCTTTAAAAGTTTTGGGGCTTTGTTCTTGGATGTAGTTAAGTAAGTTGGAAACATTGATCATGTTAAGCTTTATCAGGGCTTTTAAAATTTGTTAATTTGTCTAGGGTAATTTCGCCTCACTACATCATGCTACCCTTCTGAGGACTCTACTCAATGCCACATGCGTTCCTCTCCCGTTTGTGAAAATACGAACTATTCCCAACCCTGTGTGAGAGCTAAGCATTTTTCCACCTCTTTCTTTTGTTTTTTGTTCCTCAAAGGTATGTATTGGCCAGTACTCCCGTAAAGACTCTAGGGCAACTCTTTGGGGAACTCCAGAAAGAACTCTCTGGGGATCTCTCCCCTCTTCCACTCTGTACTGTGCATTCTAGCCTCCTTGGCCTTCCTGAACTCCACACTCTACCTCTTTGGCTCAAGGAGAATGCTGGGCTAAGCTTGGATTCTCACTTCCTGTTCAATAAGCTGAGCTTACCTCATTTGTTTCCTCTCTCAAGAATTACTGCTCTATGCTGCCTCTTGTCCAGTATCTTAAGGGAGAATGGTAAATCTGGTTATTGACAGTCTGTAATGGCCGGAAATGGAAGTTCACTGCTTTTGTTTTTCTATGGCTAAGTAGAGCTTTTGATTTTAATACAAAGCAAATGTTTCTGAACTCTGTCTTTAGGTGATGAAATTGTTTCACACACCAGTGTAAAGACAGATCTCTGTGTTTGGTACCCTTTCAGAGGACTCTGTGAATAAAAAGTCGACTTACTTTATTTCATTTTGGTATGCCAAATCTTGGTGGTTAAGCAATGTTTCCAGGAGACCCAGAGTCAGATATAGTCCATGTTTCCCACAGATAGCCTTGACCTGCAAATAAGAGACGATTCTGTCACTGTAATGAAATTAAAATTTGAATTTCCCTCCCATAATTAGAACTCATATGATTTTGACAAAAATACTTCAGAATGCATTGTACCATTAGGATACCATTCAAGACAAGAATGCCCAACGGAATGCTCAGCAACAGGAAATTTTTATTTGGTTGACAGAGAAGTATAGTTCATTACCCAGAGTCACTGGACTTTAAAATTCTCATCTTACATTTTTGTCAGCCATGGAATTGGTGATCAAGGCCCAGAAATTACATACACTTACTATACAGGTAAATTGCAAAATGTTTTCATACATCTACTTTGATTTACAAAACACGCTTGTTTTATTAGCAGGTTAATATTACTACCTGCATTTTATGTATGAGGAAACCAAGATTTAGAGAGATTTAGTGACTTTTTCAGTGTCACATAGTTAATAAATCATGGAACTTAGTCTAGAAACCAGATGTTCAATAAATTACTTGTTGGATGAATGAACGAAGTGTCACTGCAGTTTCCTATGTACTTATATTTTCTGAGTCTAGCTGACAAACCAGTTCAGTTCTCAAGTTGGCGGGTGGGTGATACTTAGATTCAAACATGTCAACGTTTAGGGGTGTGATAGCATATGTTGTATGGTTAGCATAATGTTTAAGCATATAGACTTTGGAATAAAACAGTACTTATTCTGAACACCCAATCTGCCGCCTGTTATAACTGTGACCTCAGGAAGTTACCTAACCTTGCTGTGCCCAGTTACTTCATCTACTAAACAAGACTAGTGTTCTCTGCTCCCCAGGATTCTGTGAAGATGACATGAAAAAATAAGCTGTTAGAATAGTGCCTGACTTTTAGTAGACATTGGATTAATATCTGTTGACTGAAGAAAAGATAGAAGGGAGGGAAGAGGAAGAAAAAGGGAGAGGAGAGAGAATGGAAAGAAGGAAGGAAGGAAAGAATAAAGAAAAGAAATGTCTAATTTAGTGTTTGAGCTAAATGGTAGCTACTATTATTTTCACAGCAATTTCAGTATAATAACTGCATTAAGCATGTCTTTTTATTCTGATCTGATTCTTGAACATCATGGGGCTTGGCTGACTCTGGAGAGGTTGCTCCTCCCGGGCTAGCCAATTCCTAGACTTAGTAAAGGACTGGCTAGAAAGTGAGCCTTTGATATGCAAACCAACCTCCTCCTTCGCTGGGGCTCTCACACTTGGCCACTGTTTCCCTGCTTTAGTCACCCCAGGGCCAAGTACAAGGTAAATCAGACAGACCTTATGCCCCAGGGCCCAAATTATTCAATCTAGTCAATCCTAAAGCTGGTTACCCTGCCTTGCTCAGTCCACAATGAAGGCTCTTGCCCACATTTCCCCCTTACCCTCTCTGCCTCCTGATAGACCCTGGTGCTTCCCTGTGTGGCCTGTGTGGTGTGCTGTAGCCCCTCCTCTTGGGAACTAAGAGTGACACACTATATTTTCAATGTCCATCATCTCCTGATCTGTTGGTCTGACCACACCTCAATAATAATAAACCTAGACTTTAAACCAGAAGCAAAAAGATAATTTTCATTTGTCTGTATGGAAGGAAACAAACAACAAGTCTGGGTTAGACATTTACAAGTATTACTTACTAGGTGTAGAGGAGTTGGGTCAGGGAAGCTTAACAGAACAAAAAAGATCCATTTGAAACATGAAAAAATGGCTAAGAGTTTGCCAGGAGAATAAGGGGTTGGGGAGCATTCCAGGCAGAAGAAAAGCATTGTAAATAACTGGTGAGAAAGAGCCTGGTCCTTTTCAGAAAGGGCATGGATTTTGACATGATCCACTCTATAGCTTTATACCCCTTTGCATGCTGGGCAGTGATTATCTGTTCATTAGAGCATCTCTACAAGACAGTGGCTTACTGAGGGTTGGGATTGTGTTTCATTCATTTTCCTATCACCACTGTCTAGCACACTGTTAAAAAATAAAAGATCAATAATTATTGAGTAAATGAATACATGGATGAATGAGGGAGTGAATGAAAGAGTTGACGACACTGAAGAGTGGAGCGTGTATGGATAGAGGTTAGCAAAAAATAAACTTTGAGAGGTAGGAATTAGTCACATTATTCCATTTTACTCCTTAAATAAGAATTGATTTATCATCATGATTAGAGCATATTAATGTATTTTTATTTTATTTTTCAGAGAGAGGAAGGGGGGAAGAGAAAGATAATATCTGTGTGAGAGAGAAACATTGATTGGTTGCCTCCCTCATGCGCCCCGACCAGGGATCAAATCCACAACCTGGGATGTGCCCTGACTGGGAGCCAAACCTGCTACATTCTGGGGCACAGGACCACACTCCAAACAACTGAGCCACATTGGCCAGGGCATATTAATGTATTTTTAAACACCAATATTAAAAGATTATTCTAAAAATAGTTTATTTACTTCTGGCAATACTGAGTTTTGCTCAAGGCTGAAATGAGCAGCAGATTAGAAATAGTACATCAGGGTTCCCAGAAGCAGATTGATTGATAGCTGCTAAGAACTGACTGCTGACAGCTGTAGAGGAGTAATAGAAATATCTACCAGAAAATCCTGGCAATTTAGTGTTATTCAGGATTATTATTCAAATCCTTTAAAGCATTAATATTATAATGATGACTTTTGTTCAAAAAGAAAGTGATTATGTAAAGTTTCTTCTGTTTAATAAGGGATTTAAAAATATCAAATATAAATAAATTATCTCTCTTATTTAGAAAATGACATGTGCCATAAATATTCATTTCCCCAAAATGCTCCTGGAAAGAGTGGTGCTTAGATGCTCTCTCAACTTCCTCTCTTCTCACTTATGGCTTCATTTGCATTTTACCCCATCACTATCTTAAACTGTGTTTACTGAGTCACTAGTAACCTCCATGGTTTCAAATTTAATGAACACTTTTCGGTTTTAATTATGGATGATCTCTTCACAGCATGCAACTTGGCTGATCTCTTGGTTTCTTGACCAGTCCCACATGCCTTCTGATTATTTTTCATCTCCTTTGTTGGCTTCTTTTTGTCCGCCTGTTCCTCAGCAATGAGTGCCTTCCTCACCCTTCCCGGCTCGATTTTCATTATGTCCTCAGTAACCCTAGCTCCTCCCATGGCTTCAGCTACCTAGTGAAGATTCTTAAATCATTATTAATTTCAACCTCTCACCCTAGATCAACATGTTCAAAACTGAACTCATTACCCCTTCTTACATCTCTTCAAACTTCTCTGTTTCTTATCAGAGAATGGTGCCACTAGCCATCAATTTGCCAAAGACAGAACCTTGGGACTTATTTTCGATTCTTCCTAATTCAGGGCCTACATTCAATTAGTCATCAAGTCCTACTTTTGTACTTCCTTAATATCTCCATCCCTCCCATTACTACCTTGGTCTAAACCCTCATAATTTCTTGCTTGAATTACTGGACCAGCCTTCTAAAGGGTTTCACTGCGTCTAATTTTCCATATTCTATTAGAGTGCTCTTTTCATATTCCAAAGTTAATCATATCATTCACTTGTTTAATATCCTTTGATGATTCCTCTGTGCCTTCAGGATAAAATTTACACTCCTTAGGAACTTCATAAATTTGCTCCTATTCTTCATTCCAGCATCACTTGAGCAGCATCTCCCACCATCCCCAGCAGCCATACATTCACTATGTTCTGCCTCTACAAACAATGTCCAGTTCCCTGAATTAAGCATGCTCTCTCCTTTCAGGGCCATTTCTCATTGCTCCTTTTACCTAGAACACCTTTCCGATTCCTTCCTCCGCTCCTTCCCCCAATTCTTTGCCAAATTCACCTATCGTTTAAGATTTAGAATTTGCATCTTCTCCTATGGAGAGTTTTGGGGCTAGGTTAGGTTGGCGTTGCTTCTCTGTGTTCACTATATTTGTTATACAGAATTGTGATATGTTAAAAATGTTGCCTTTCCCCATGAGCTCCTGAAATTGTAATAGTCTGTGGTCCCCAGCCTTATTCCAGTTCCCAGAACACACTGAGTGAATAATATGTTGAATGCAAGAGTAGCATGAACATGCCACATTGATCAGAAAGATGGCTGGTGAACTGGAAGAAGGGAAGGATTTGAAGTTATTAGTAATAATTTTATAGCTTTAGGGCAGAGTGTACTGATACAGAAACAACCAAATACAAAAGAGGAGCTGACACACTGCAGGAGACTGTCTTACAGTCTTAGCCACTAGGTAAACTAGTGACATAGCTGGAGTCTTGCCATTAGAACAAACTTCACATTCACAAACCCTGGATTCCCTCAGTGATGGGACTCCCTGTTAATGGCAATGAGGACGTTGCATGAAAATAAAGCAGAGTAATTAGAAGCACAGCCACCTGGGTTCTAGCTTCCTCCTGGGAAGAAGGCCTGGGAGTAGTCTGGGATGTAGAGAGGAAAGAGAATGAGTTCAAGAGATGAAGAATATAGATTATGGAGAAAAAGGGTTAGACTGAGCCTGTGTGCGTGGAGGCTTCTTAGGTCCTGCAGACCTATTGAGTCTACTTGGGTAATGGTCAGGGTGGTTAACAAGTGTATGTGGATCCACGTTGCCTCAGCAGCCCTTCCAGAAGCTATCATTGCATCAAAGATATGCCAGAGGAATAGGATGAGTGAGTCCATAGAATGAAGATGGCAGATATTGGATATGGTTTCATATTGTCCTTTGACAGTGGTCAAAATTCCATTGATCTGAGTGGCAAGACCCATATTACCCTTCAAGACTGCATTTATTTATCTGAGCAGCTATAGATCATTTGTGAACTCTCTGAAATGCCGGCTGTGAGGATGTGCCTCAGCCCATGACCCCTGTCCAGCACAAGGTGCACAGATTTTATGAGAAATTTCAGAAGGCCTGTGATTCTCTGCACTGTACCCCAAAGAGATTTAGTACTAGTCAAAAAGAAAACCCCTTCTAATTCTGATGGCCCTTCTCAGGCCACTCTGAAGTCCAGTGTCCAGGAGCAAGAATTCTGGGCTAGAATTGCTGCCTTCAGTATCCAATGTCCCTTGGGCTTCAGTTTGTCTCATGTTCTGGGGAAACAGAATTGTATCTTATGTGCCTCCCAGAACTGTAATATACTTTGAGTGAGTTCCAGATGTCTTAAGAGATGCCAGATGGCTCATGAGAGGCGCACCAGCTTTCAGGAAAATGTGTCCCATTTCCTTAGATATGAACCACAAATTTAATCTTTCAGGCCCAGCTGTGGGGGGAGAAGTCCAAGGCCTGCTCTGCTAGCCAGTGCTCAGATATCACAGTGTGCTAAATGCCTTCACATGCTTATCTTGTTTAACAACAGACAGGGGGCAGATATTTGGAACCCAGTTTTTCCAGATGAAAAATCTGAGACTCAAAGAGTTTAAGCAAATTTACTTTGATGTTCAAGTCATTTATGTTCCAGTCTGTATCATCTGAGAACATTCTAGCTTCACTGATGGTGTTACGTAGTTTCTAATAACACAGAATTGGTGCTTCTTAATCTATTCCTACTGATCTACTGCTGAACATAAAAGCGTGTATTTAGGATGTGTGGAATCTCCTATAGTGTTCTCTCTCTCTTTCTAGTAAAACATGCTGCAGGTGTAATATTTACACACGCACACACACACACACACACAGTCATGAGTTCTACCTTTGCACACTTACAAGTGAAGCATAGAGAAAGCTACTTCTGTGCCAGAATAAGAAACTACTTTCAGCATATTGTGTCCTTGCTTCCTTAATAAACATCACTTGTTCTTTTAAATCCTCCGGCTCTCAATTCTAATTCCTATTTACCTAAATGAAAGGTATTTTTCAATCTTTCCAATGGGATTCATATACCCCCAACACCATAATTTTCTATCCCTTCTATTCCCTCACTCCTCTGGAATCTTAACTTTTGTGTCCTGAGCTCAGTGGAATCTTCCAGATAATCTTCTGTCTAATGGAGTTCCAATTATAGCTCTTAATTTCCAGTTTGTTTCTGCATTTTGAATCCTGCTTCTGCCACGTGCTAGCAGAGGCCCTTGGGTGACTCAACTGGGGCTCAGTTTTTAAAATTTATTAAATGAGTATTATAACAACCACTTAGATTTTGTAGTTCTTTTGTAAGTGTTAGGCGAGATGATGTAAGTAAAGCATTTAGCGCAGTACTTGGCATTTAGAGAGAACTCAGGAAAACTTGGTGGTGACAAGTTGGTGTTAATGGAATTGTAGTATTAGTGGTAATTATTATTTTGCCTGTATACTAGGTAGCCTCATGACTAGGGTTTATGGTTCTGGACCTTCTGCCACAAAACACATCTGCACTATTAATTAATGCTCCAAAAAGAGCATGCCCATCTCTATCAGCAATAAATCACAGCAGCCCCTACAATGTGATGTTCCTAAGGAGTGCGATACCACATGCTGACCTCATGGGAGCTGGCAGAGGGGGTGAGAAATTAACATTTGGCCTTGGCAAAACATGTGTTTTCCACTGTGAAATATGATTTGGGTATTGCCATATTCTATATTGTTAACATAAAACATAGCTTAATATAAGTAATTCCTGGATCAATGCTGCACATTTCACAATTCCTTTTCTATTTTATTTTTTCTCCTCTCTGGCACAGAAAACAAAAAACTGTGTAATATAATCCACAGGCAGAACACAGATCATAACTGTGCCTTCTTACTACAGACCCAATGCTCCAGCATAGACTTTTAGGCATGAACACATCAGAAATCTAATTTTGGTCACCTTGGGTGGGGGCAGGAAGCCAGAGAAGCCGTGATCTTCTTTTCGAAAACTCAGATTGAGGCCCTCTAGGTTGAGTTTGCCGTTGGTTGTCCTTAGTGCCATCTTCAAGATCTCCAGCAGGCTCTTGTTCACTTCCGATGGAGAGTTGGAGTCTTGAGGGGCAGCACTGCTTGGAGGGACAGGGGAAAGTCTGTGAAAAGATGATCTGCTCGAAGCTGCTATGAGTTTTCATACTGTGTGTCTCACCTGTGTTACACACCCGGGAACCAGGGAACCCACCTTCTAAATCTGGGTAACCTGGTCATGGGACTGCATGTAGTGATTTCACTTATTAACTCAAATCTGTTCCATTCCAGTGAGCACTACAGTCTCTTCTTCAGGAAAACCAACCAATTCGACTAGAATATAGACCAAAGTTTGTAATCTACTCTCTCTTTTTTGCCAGGTTGAGAGAAAAAAGTAGAAGCGTACATAGTACTTCACTTTACCTGCTTGACCTTACTTTTTTTAAGCCCAGATAATCAAATTTCCAAACTGCATATTGTCACAAGCAAAGCAAAGCAGATCCTGGTAGATCCCTGTAACCAGGGAACCAATGGAGGAAGAAACCCTGAACCAGGTGAAATTCCTGCATTATCATTGACTCTGCTATTTGTATCTGGAAAACCTAGGAAAGTTTGGGAGTAATTGTGGATTTTCCAGATGGCATGCAAATGTTGTAATTACTCAGATGGTTTATCTAACTGACTGACTTTTGTTACTTTACATAACAGGTGAAAAGTCCCAGAGTGATAAAATGTCAGAGTCACTTCTTTCATGAAACCAGTTTGAGATATTTACTTATTTATTTAACATTCAAAGGTATGTGTCCTTCCAGATCTGGCCAAACTCTTTTCTCTTCAATAAAGCTTTTCCTAATTTTCATTGTTGCAGCTTAAGTGCCACTTCCCTAGAAGGACATTCTATGACACCTCCAACCCCTACTCATGTAAATTAGTTTACTTTCAGTGATGTGCTGATAAATCTTTAACAACCAGCTCAAGATAAAGCCCTGATTTGGAGCATTACTGATTTTTCTGGTGTGAATGCTCCCACCATGGATGATTCCAAGCTACCAAAATGATGTTACTGAATGAGGAGTTGGAAACTGATGCACAGAGCAGGCCCTCAGGATGCTCCAGCCCCCCCTCCACTTGATCAACTTTTTAAAAAATTAAATTTATTGGGATGGTATTGGTTAATAGACTAGACCCGCATCTTACTGAAGCGATCTATAGAGAAGTCTTCTTGCTCTGCAAGATGTGGGTCAGGTATGTTTTGTTCTTTATTATTTCTGGGAGATGCTGAACAATAATGGCCAGTGATTATTTTTAGATGTATTTATTTTCCTAAAGGTCATGTTGTATCTTCTTTTTGCTCTGTAACTCTTACTTGAGCTTTGACACCAAACTATGCCATTATGAATTACTTAATAATAGCCAATATTTTCCAAAAGTTTGGTACAGGAAAGGAGGAGGGGCTATTCGTCTTTGTCTTGGCCACCTAGCTCTGCACCTCCTTTCCCTTACTCAGGGAGTTCCCAGCTCAAGAGTCTGCCTCTCACTCTAGCAGAGGAAAATGCCAGCTATTTGCTTTCCCAGCCTCTCTTTGCTGCTTAGGTCACATGACTTGGGCCTTGACAATCAATGTATCTGCCCCAGATTTGAATCAGAAGTTTTTCTTCCTCTTTTCTTGCAAGGCCAGTGTCTAGCAGTAGGAGTTCATGAGGCTCTGGCCCCCATCTCCATATACTGGGCACTGAACAGACAAGTACTGTATGGAACCCATTACTGCAGCTGGTGGGGTCTCTTAGGAAACCTGCTGCAGGAGTGGATTTCATCTGGTCCAACTTAGGTGATGAGAGTTGTTGCCACTCCTGCTCTCACTAGTGATGGTAGAGGCTTTTAAAAATCACAGAGCTGCCTCATTAAAGGCTCTACCTGACAGAACATGAGAGGGCATTTTCCTGAGCAGCACATTAATTAACAAAGTGCCTGGATTCATTATGGCTGCTAGTCCTGCGCTTCCACACATACACTATCTGGTTCATGTAAAGCAGCACTTTCTGTGATGAGTTCATGGTGATCTCTTTAGGCACCTTTTTTACAGGGTAGATATCCAGATGTCCCTGCACATGAAGTGATGCAAGCTCTTTGGATAATGAGAGCTGCCAATTACATTCAACAAGTATTTATTGGGCATCTCCCATGTGCCAGGAACTTTGCTAGAACTGTGCTAGATACTGAGTTGGCCAGGATAGACACTATTCCGAACCTCAAATGTCAAATAATTACAAGTGCAATGTCTGTGATGAAGGGAAACATCTATGGGACCATGCACCAAAGAGACATAACCTAGTCTAGGGCTCAGGAGAGGCTTCCTGTCTAGGACTCATATGACCCATTTCTGCCAACAAGTGGCCACGTTTTCTGGTGCATAGTCTATTACCTCTCAGGGCCCAAATCTTACAATCTGTAAGATATGAAGTATAGTTGCTGATTGTTAAAAATGTATAGGGCTCCATGGCTCTCAGTAGGATCATTGCTCGGAGAGTGATATTTGTTTGGACTGTGAATCCTTGAAGAAGTGACTAGGCCTTGCCAAACTCTGAATTCATTGTGTCCAGCAAAGTGTGCCTGGCGCGCAACTGGTATTCAATGAATGTTTGCTGAATGAAGTATCAGAGTCCAAAGGGCACTGTGTAGAAGGGAATTAAGTCTAACACTTGGCCCAGGAACATTTGTACAGAAAACTCTACCTTTTTCTTGAAGAGGTAGGTTCCTATCCTGTGGCTCTTAGACACTATGTCACATTATTTATAACTGAAAAGAGTATTTTCTGGAAGGATAGTTTAAAAATAGTAACAAACAGCCTGGCTGATGTGGCTCAGTGGTTGAGCATTGACCTATGATCTAGGAGATCAAGGTTCGGTTCGATTCCCAGTCAGGGCACATGCCTGAGTTGCAGGCTCGATCCCCGGTGTGGGGCATGCAGGAGGCAGCTGATCAATGATTCTCTCTCATCACTGATGTTTCTCTCTCTCTCTCCCTCTCCCTTCTTCTCTCTGAAATCAATAAAGATATATAAAAAAATAAATGAAATAAAATAAAAATAGTAACAAACACTTATATAGCACTTACTGTGTACCAGGGACTGTCTTTAAGAACTTCGCATTAATTAAGTCAGTCACTGTTACACATCTTTGGGGGTAAGTGAAGTCTATTATTATTCCCATTTTACAGTTGGAGATTAAAAGCATAGAGAAGGTAAGTGACTAGCCCAAGTTTCCAGAGCCACTTAATGGCAGAGAGAGGGATTGAGCCCAGGCTTCTGGCAATGGGGTTATGCTCCTAACCACTGCCCTTTGTCACTTTTCTCAGAGAACATAGGGACTATCATGCTTTACTGTGTCTCATCTCTAATACATTCTTTACATCCTAATTTTTACTTTTAATCACTTCTTTCCTTAGAGATTATGTGAAGGGATTATTGATTCCTATACCTCAAACTTTCCTGTGCTAGTACCTGTAGCCCAGGAGTTCACTGACTGAACATATTTCTGGAATCATTCTCCAGAATGAATTCCACACCAGGATACAATGATTTCTTTCTTTCATTTTATTTATTAATTTAAATCCTCACTCAAGGATAAGTTTTTATTGATTTTTAGAGAGAGAGGAAGGGAGAGAGAGCAGGAGGTGGAGAGAGAGAGACATCGATGTGAGAAACATCGATTGGTAGCCTCCCATAGGGGCCCAGACCGGGAAATCAAACCCGCAACCTAGGTACGTGCCCTGAGTGGAGATCGAACCCATAACCTTTGGTGTACGGGACCATGCTCCAACCAACTGAGCCAGCCAGCCAGAGCCATAACCATTTCCTATTTCATAATGGATTTTTTCACTTTTACATGGCGACCTCATAAAAAAGACACATACTTAATGTTAAGAAACATTTGCAATCGTTGCAAATAATTTCCTGTGCCAACCCGTGTACAGCACAGAGGGAAAACTATCAGCATAAGCCAAGAGTTGGCGAGCAGCGCCCTGCACGGGGCGAGCCTGCGGAAGGAGCGGTCCCTGGGAGCCCTGCCGGCTCAGGAGCCTAGGGACAACGTGCTCCCAGGCAGGGCGAACGCACCTGGAGCTGCGACGGTCACCACCCTGGGCTTCCCTCGGGCGGCTGCCCACCATGCTTCTGCTTCGCCGTGGCTCATCTGAAGCGGCCACTTCCACAAAACACAGTAGCTTCTCATAGTTCACCTGAAAATTAAATATAAGACAGAACATCCTCATTTAAATTACATGTAAGGAAAAGGGGCCTGCCGAAATGAAACGTGTTTGGAATCTTTTACCACGAAGTTTTTAAAGCAGCTTTGAAAATATAAGTATTAGTGCTTTGTACCAAATATTCCTATTATTTTCCCTTCTGGGCAAATGGTAAAATTGTACTTCTTGGTTGCCTTGTGGTTGGGTTGGGCCCTGTGACCAGTTCTGGCCAATGAGTTATAAGCAGCAGGGATATGTGTTACTTCTGGGCTGAGGGTTAAACTGGTGACGTGAGACCCTCCAGAGCTCTCTTTTTCCCCCTCTGCTGTATGTCCCCAAATATTCCAGAGTGTCTGCTTCATCAGCCTGGGTTTTGGAGCTAAGGTAATGACAACACTGAGAAGAGCCTGTGGCTAACTCATTATAGAAGAGTAACGTAAATGAAAAATAAGCTTTTGTTGTTTTAAGCAACTGAGATGTTGGGCCTATTTGTTACTACACCATAATCTAGCCTCTCACCCCACACTCTCTCACATCTCTTTATATACTTATTATATATAATATATGCTTCTATTTAGATATATTCTGCAGATACATACAGATTATTTGGGGATAGGGCCCTACTTACTAAGCTAAGTGAAAAAATGTAAAAGCTTTTGTATTATTATTATTACATAGGAAAGGAATGTTGTCCACTTCCATTGCTGGGCTGGATGACATCCTAGGGACTGTGGTGGGCAGACAACCCCAGGGCAGTGAGTGGGGAGCAGTGGGGAAAGGAAGCTGGACAGGGCCCCTGATATAAACCAGGTTTCAGACCAGCAAATTTGACTGAACTAAAGATTCATGGAGGTTGTACTAATAAGTTGACATTGTGTTGCTAAATACTTCTCATAAATATGCAACTTATTTTATTTTTGCAGGTTAAAGATGGGCAGGAGACAGAACTTACATTTATTTGTGTACCTACTAGCTGCTAAGCATGAAACCAGGTAATTGGCATTTCTTATTACTAAATATTACTATCCTCAGACTATCCCTATGAGGTTGGCCTGGGCCTGGTTTTCTATCAACACATGCTCACTAATGATTTTCTCATCACTGTTACTTCTTCCTGTTTTAGGGCATTTTCCTCTAGCTCCCTGACTTTGGTTACACTTGGACCATGCTTCATATTCACTCTCAGGTGTGAACTTGGGAAGGGCAAGCAGAGAAAAAGCCCCGTCCTTGTACAGGGGAATCTTGACCTCAGCCCTGGGTCTGTCATTAATTCTCTGGGTGTCCTGAGCAAATTTCTTGACCCCTCTGGGTCTCAGTTTCCTAACCAGTAAATCAATGGTGGTGAGTTATATTTCAAAGATACCTCCCACTCTCTAACTCTCTAGAACTGCCACACATCTTAGTCAAGTTCTCTGTTCTTACCTTGGAGTTTACAGACTGCTCAGCTTGTAAACGGACTTTAGTGCACCCATTATCTTGAATCTGTAACTATCCCATTAGTGTTAGGAGCAGACAATGAAAGTTGGGGAAGGAAAGTCCTTTAAAGAGAAATTAAACAGGGCTAAAAGACCGGAATCTCTTTTCTATTCTGGTCTATTTTGACTAGAGATTTCCACATATGAATACAAATAAGCTTTGTATCTTAGGGGTCAATGGTAAAGTTATTTTTCAAGAAAGAAACTAGTCTTCTATTACTCTGGTGGGTTCAAGTAAAATAAATGAAAGGAATACACATTTGAAATTGCCAGGTGGCCATACCATTTCAGGAGAGCCGCTCTTGGAAAACCTCTGGCAGAGGATCTTGACTGTTGGTAACTGCAGAGGGACTTCATGCTTCAAGAAGAGGTGGCTCAGCTGAGATTGAAGAAGAAATCCTGAAAAGATGGGATCCAGAACTTTCAGCTCTTTTCGAAGCTTATCTAATAAGCCAGATTTCAAAGGATATGACTCAAGTTCTCTTCTGACCAGGGCGAGAAGAAAAGTGTCTTCTTTTGCTGTTCCACTTGGCCTCTGGCCAATATCCTGACACAACAACAACAACAAAAACAAACAAAACAAAAATTAACAGTGCTCTGAGGTAAGATGCTGAAGGCCCTGCAAGGAAGGGGAAGCCTAGTAGGCTGGTATCAGAGCACCCACTTCCAGGCCCAGCCTAGAATAGGGTGTTAGTAATCCCTGAAGGAAGTGTTCAACCTGGGTGTGTTTGTTAGTTTACAGTGCCTCAGGACCTTCTCCTTCAGAAGAGAAGAGGAAGGTCGCTTCAGAGTACATGCCCTGTTAGAAGGCTCCTTAAGGTGTATCATCTGTCTTCTACAAAATAACTTCTGTGATTATATGAGGATTTAGAACAACATATCTTAGAGACCCACAGGATTTGGGAGGAAGAAGGTGGGAGGAATGTGAGAAGTTCAGTTGAGACATTTGAGGTCTTCTGTGAACTCCCCAGGAAAGCTCCCTGAAAAGCCAGTTAGACATGTGGAGTCCGGTATCCACCAGTCCATCCTCAGATTGTCATATTATCTACTCCACATCAAAATATACAGCCAACAAATATACCCCTTCATCCACAATAGAAAATAGCTCACCAGCTCTCAGTATACACACACCTCAGGCTGCTCAGAAGCTCCCCTTGCCATCTGATCCAAGGACCAGTCTTTAAGTTTTCTCCTGGGGAGGCCATGGATATAGGACAAGGACTGGTCTCCAGTTGGTACAGAGCTGCAGTGGACAGTTGCCTGGTTGGGAGTTTTGAAGAAACAAAGACAAATGGTAATAAGTTCAGAAGGGGACAGGGGAGGACAAAGAGGAAGGAAGAGAGAATATGAGTGAGCCAACCAGTGCCTTAAAACATAGTCCCAGTTCCAAATGACCTTAGCCCATGTAGTCATTGGGTCATTGAGTCCTCAGAGAAGAAAGTTTGCCTCAACGTCAACTTCAGCATTATGGAATTAACAAGTGTTTGACAAATATATCAACAATTAGATACCGTTTCATTTGTGTAAGAAAGAAGGTGTCTGGACAAAGAAAAATTAGGTAGTACATAAGGCATTTATAGGCAAATTAGGGTTCTTATTAGAGATAAGGGTATCCTTGGGCTCTTTTAATTAGCAGATTCAGGGAGGGCAGCAAAGGTAATTGAGAGCTTTGTCAAGAATGGACTAGAAGAGATTAAAAGCCCAGAACTATTACATCCCAAGAGCAATGTTATTAAAGGTTACAATAGAATAAATGATGGAATAAGGGTCAGTGATAAAAATCCCATTCCCTCTTGCTGTGGAGTAGGGTGTATTAATCATGTTTTTTATTTTCTGTATTTTATGATGGTTTGACATCTTGGAAGGCCTGGCTGGCTGAAGGAGATTGTCCCTCCCAGGCCTAATTCCTAGAGATAGTAAAGAGCTGCCTGCTAACACACTGTTCATATGCAAACCAAGCAGGCCTGAGTCCATATCCCCTACCACCTCCTTCATCTAACCCTCACACACAAAGCCAATATCCCCCTCGCCCCCCCTGAAATCAACCCAGATCCAGATACCAGACAGCTAGAGGTCTATGCCCAAAGCCCCCTGGGTTATTTAAATTAGCCAGTTCTAATTTGTTAACCCTGTCTTGCCTTTCTCGTGGAAACCCCAGAAAGCATAAGTTCTCCAGCTTTGTTCTTTTTCAGGAATGTTTAAGATCTTTAGCAACCCTTAAGGTTCCATATGAATTTTAGGATGGGTTTTTATATTTCTGCAAAAAAGTTATTGGGATTTTAAAAGTGGCTGACAATGTTAACTTTTTCTGCACAAGAATATAACACTCTTATCTATTTTTCAAATCTACTCTTGTGTCTTTCAAGAGTTTTATATATTTTTCTCATAAAGGTTTGGGCATTTCTTGTTAAATTTATGTCTAGGCATTCGATTTATTTATTTAGTTATTTATTTGTTATTGTAAACTGTCTTGCATTTTATCTTCTAACTAGTTTTTGATTATATATAGATACATATAAAGTTTGTTGATATGTGTATATTGATGTTATAACTATTTTATCAAATTATCTTATTTAGTCGTTTTTTCATTAGCTGTTTTGAGATTTTATGTGTTTGATCTTAACATCTAAAAAGAGTTTTTCTGGCCTGGCTGACGTGGTTCTGCAGTTGAGCATCGACCTATGATCCAGGAGATCACAGTTTGATTCCTGGTCAAGGCACATGCCCTGTTTGTAGGCTTGATCCTCAATAGGGGGCATGCAGGGGGCAGCTGATCAATGACAACTCTCTCATCATTGATGTTTCTATCTCTCTCTCCCTCTTCCTTCCTCTCTCTGAAATTAATAAAGATATATTAAAAATTTTTTTTAAAAAGTGCTTTTCTCTTTTTTTCTAATTATGCTTGTAATTGTTTTCTCTTATTTAATTACATTGGCTAATACCTCCAACGTAGTATTAAGAACCAGTGGAAATAATGCATACATTGACTTCTTCCAGATTCAAATGTGAAAGCCTCTAGCATTTCTCCATAAATAAGGTGTTGGCTTTGGGTTATTATATATAGAGAGAATTTTGGAAACAACAATGAATAAGATAAAATCTTATTCTTAGAAGACTTAAAGGCTTATTGAAGGAGATAGACAAGGAAACAACCTATTTTAATAGTATGTCATTGCTATAGGGTTGTGCACAGATTGATTTAGAAGTACATTAGGAAAGGCATGTACCTCAGTCTTGGTGACCAGACAATGATGCTTCTTGACAGAGCTGATATTTAAGTTGAGATTTAAGTTGAGTAATTAGGATTAAATAAAATGAAGAGAAGAGAATTTCACACACACAAAATATTGGGGAAACTGAAGTTCAGTTTGGTGCAAGGTGGGGGTGGGAGAGAGGTAGAGAATAGAGAAAGTTGAGTAAAAATGGTAAGTCAAGGAGTTTGAATTTTATACTAGGACAATGAGAATTAAACTGTTGTTTTAAATGTTTTAAGTAGGGGTTACACTTGATCTGTGGTTTTGAAGTTCCTCCTAAAAAAGGTAGCATATATATCCCTGCCCCATTAGTATTATGCTTTGCCATGTGGTTTGCTTTGGCCAATGGGAGATTAGTGTATATGACACAAGCAAAGACTTAAAATGCACTTATGGTTGAGTTTGTCCCCTTGAAATGTTTCCATTACCAGGAGAAGAATTTGCCTTGAAGAGCCCACTGATTCAGACCAATAAGGAAAATACAGAGCGGACCTGAACCAAATTTGCAGTCTGGAGCCAAGCCTAGGAAAGTCTAAGTGAAATAAGAAAATGCTGTGTTAGCTCACATCTGCAGATGTGAGCATAAATTATTATAATTACAAACCACTGAGTGTTGGGGTAATTTGTTACACAGAAGTATTATAATAGCTGACTAATACAGAGAGGGAAGCATAGAAAAGGAAAGCCAGTTTGAAGATAATTAAAATCTCCCTGCTGAGGTAGAATGGTGGTCTGACTAGAATGATGGCAGAGGAAACACAAGTAAGAGGGTAGTTTTGAGGGGCAAAAAGGAAGCAGAATTTAAAGGGCTCAGTGATTAGCTGGATATCAGAGTTAGGGAGAGAGAGGAAGAAAGCAGGCACAGGTTTCTTGCTGGTGCAACTGGGAAAACTGTGAAGCCGTTCTGTGAGACAAACCATAAGAAGAAGAGCAAGACTGAAGGTTCTGCTTGGAAAATGTTGAATCTGAGCCACCAGTGCACAGTCAAGTGGAAGTGTCCTTTACATTTGTCTGTTCATCTATTAAACGAGAATAACATCCCTTGCTGCTACCTACCCCACAGGGCGATTGTGCAGAAAAAGCATGATAAAACAAGCAAAGGGGTTTGGGGAAAAATATACCACCAATCAACTGGGATAATTATTAAAATGAAAGTACTAATGCTTTCATTTTCTTGCTGCCAGATACAAAAAGCACACTCCAATTTTATTCTTGAAACCATGCTACTGAGTTTGTTGTTAGTCACACATTCTTATTTTCTGAGAAGGCAGAGCTGATGATTCTGAGAAATAATGTAAACAACATATATATTTTCAAAGTCACATAGGAGCAGAATTTGGAGACAAAAAAGATCCTACGGGTTGGTGATGAGAAGAGCCAGGCGCCACTTGTGAGACCTTGAACTAATCATGAAGCTCCCTGGGCCTTTCATTCTTCATTTGCGAAATGAAGGTTTGTCCTTGTTGATTTCTAAGGTATCTTACTGTTCTCACACACATGGACTGATGGATTCACTTAACATTTTCTGCTTGCTTTATCTCCTAGTAATCATACTCTTCAAACTGGATCTGTAATTTAGAAATGAGTTTCACACATGCCCATCCTCACCCACCTTAGCTCCATCTTTATCAGCAACCCCTCCTCTGGAGCACATTCAGCCAGTCCAGGTCGCCTGTTACATACCAGGCAGGAAGGGTTATTTTCATCTGTGTGTGAGGCATGAGGATCTAGAAGGAGTTCTGATCGGTTTGTTTTTTTCACTGAGGCATGATTCCACTTACCACTTGTCAAGGTGGTAATGAGGGTCTCTGCACCAGGCAACTGTGGCTGCCATCTGGCAGGCCAGCGCCACACACTCGGAGACAGAACCAATTAGGCCCACACCTCCCACGGGGCCTTCCTGCTTTTGATGGTTGAGCGTTACTCCTACTGAGCCTCCCACAAGTAACCTCGTTGATGTTTTGTGGGGGGGAGGGGCACCTCCTCTCCCTCTGGCGCTACAGAGCTAGCAAAGAGTCCAGATTATGGAGGTCCCTGAACAGCTCACCCAATGAACATGCTGCCCATCAGAATGGCTAATGCAGGGTCTGTTCCAGCAATGGGCAGCTCACTGTGATAGAGGGAGTGTCAAGAAGCAACTTTCCATTTAGAAGAGAAAACTAGAAATAACTTCGATTCCAATGATAAGGAATTAGTTAAATGAGCCATGGTATATCCCTATAAAGGAATGAATGCAGTCTGGTGATTAAGGACCTAGAACCTGGGCTTCAACGGTGGCTCTGCCACTTGTCAGTCTTATGACCTGGACAAAGCACTTGAACTTTGTTTCTCAGTTCCTTCACCTACGAACTGAAGATAATAAGTGTTCCTACCTCATTGGGTGCTTGAGAGTAGAGAGTTAGTTAATGTATGTAAAGAGCTTAGAATAGCTCCTGGCACAGAGTAAATGCTATTTAAGTGTTCATTCCGAGTATGACTCACAGAGCCATTAAAGAGGATGCTTAGGATGAATTTTTTGAAGCTGGGGCAGAATTCTTGCTATGAAGTGAAACAAACAGGATAACAGAGAGAATATACATCATGATTCTCACTCTATCTATGCATGGAGGAAAGAGAGGAAGAACTACACTACTGTTTGTTTTGTTTTCAGTTGTATTTTATTTTCTTCTTAATTATATTTTCCTTGCACTTTCTAAAATTTCTACATGGGCATGTAATATTTTATAATAAGAAAGATCAATATTAAGAAGTGAAAAGAAGAGAAGAAAACCTTGGTAAACATCTTGTCTGCACACTTAGGAGTCTCAGTTTTATCATCAATACCATAGTGATAGACACGACCTCACAGGTTAATTCCAAGGAGCAAATAATAAAATTTACCTGAAAGTGATCAGGCAATAATAAAGTGTTTTATAACTATAATAGCCTTACCAAGGTCATCCTTGGGAAGCAACAACAGCAAATATATTAATGCCAGAGTCAAAATTAGGTAAAAACTCAGAAGTCTTTAGAAGTTCACAATGGATTATTTCACCTCTGCAGGGTCTGCTCCTGCCAAGTCCTAAATTCAAGGACTCATGATGAGAAAGACAAACACATTAACTGGGGATTCAGAAGCCAGAGTTCTGACATAGGCTGTGCCACTGACATTTTGGGCAAGTCACTTTTATTTCTGGACCCCACTGTTCAAGTAGACATTGTAGAGTATGGCCTGAGGCCCACTAGTGGGCAGTTAACTACTCCAAATTACAATTTCTTTCCGAGTTCTTATCAACAAAAGTCACAAATCCATAGGCTTTTATTTTATATAACTAAAAACTAGCTTGTATCTGGATGATTTAGCAGGGGCTATTAAAATTATAAACTAAAAATAGTTATGTTATCGTGTACTGCAGATTCTCAGTATTTTACTAAAATATCTGCCTGTCAATGCTTGGCAGCTCTGCAAAACTCCTACTCTATGTATCCATTTAATTGCCATTTCAGCAATTTTTGGAAATGGTACTTTGTTATCAATGAATTGCTAGTTTTGTCTTGATTTGGATCCAATTTTCAATTGCTGCTATTCTTGTTTTTTAATTACAAATTACTAATCACTTAGATTCATCATTATCAAGTTAGTCTGTTGTGGATTGTTTGGCTGATTCTTAACAGAGTGCAGTGATATAGCTTTCTATCCAGATAGTTTTGGGCTCATAATTTTTTGATATCTAGATATGGTTGCACTGGATTTTTGAAAGAAAATGATCTCTCCCTGTAATGTTAAAGAAGACAGACAGCCCCCACCTTCCAACCTACCCCAAATTTGCATGGACAGTGATAATGATCACTATGTGTCCCTCAGTGAGTGAGCCACAGACAGAGTAGGTTGACCAACTCAATCGGTGGTCAACAAATATGCAATATACACAATAACCTCAAAATTCACTTTGAGAATGAAAAAATTTGTTTTAATTCTATCTAACGCAAAATATATTAATTACCATTAGTACACGTGTGTGTTAGTATGAATCTATGTTTCTATCGTAACTCTGAATTTTCCTGACTAGTCAATTACCAAGAAGAATTCAGGTTTTTGTCACTCACGTTGTCATCCAGAAATCTGCTCCCGAGCGCTCCTGTTGGGAGCTTGTGGTTGTTCTCTGGCTCCTGCTTGTTCTCCGGGTGCTTGCTCTCTGCCACATCATCTGGGCCGTGATCGATTTGATGATCAGTGGCATTGCTAGGCGCTGGGCGGTCTCTGCTCACCTGCCTTGCGTTACCAGGCACAGATTTCTGGAATACTCTTGGAGCTTCTGCCTTCGGGTTCTCATTCTCGTTGCTGTGAAGAAAGGTTTGGCACTTTGTCACTCACGGGGCAGGTTCGCGTGCGCCGGGCTGGCATGAGAAAAGGAAGACGCTTGGTGCTGCGAGCGGTGGTAGCCCGGCGTGAGGGAACAAAGAAGTCAATGTTGGTTACTTGTCTGCGGGTCATTTACCATAGACGGGCCATGTCGTTATTTCTTAGGCTTTATTTTCCCCTGCCCTCTTCCTCATACTCATCAAGATCACCTGTCCATCTGCTCCAAAACTCTTACTGTTCGTGCTGGCAGTGTCGAGAGCGACCCTATAGGTGATCACGTATCTCGCTTACAAGTCTCAGAGGCGCGCTGGGTGTTTGTGACCAGGAAAGGAGGGGGTCAGGGCAGCTCGCCAGCCCAGCTCTGCTCCATGTCCGTCCTCAGCGCCTCCCCTGGGGCTTCTTTTTCCCTCATTAGTCCCCCATCGAAGCTTAATATTACATAGGGAAAAGGAAAGGAACCTCAAGACCCTGTAGGAATGATTCAAAGAAATGCAAATAATAAACTTAAAAAATTATTCAACGTTGTCTCATTACTAAAGACTTACAAGTCAAAAAAATTACCAGAATTTAAGCCTAAGTTTATCTGATTGCACCTAAGTTCCTCCTGCCTGCAGAAGGGTCAGGAGAGGGTCCGTGGAAGTTTGGGAGTACCCGAGGGGCAGGAAGGGGAGGAGGGGCAGCCAAGCGGGTAGTGCAGGGTTCAGACACAGAACTGGGCGCGGGGCAGAGCGAGCGCGTCCAGATCAAGTCAAGGGATAAATCATCTTTGCTCTAATCTCCTTCAAAATATTTTTGTGGGCAGTATCAGGACAGAATTGCCTGAGAAATGTGACATGTATCTGCCTGTCTGTTAAAACAGCCACAGTAGATGTAAAGCCAAAAATAATCTGTTAAATCTGTTCAAAGTAAAAGCTGTTTTTTTAAAAAAGAACATACATAGCAGTTTAAAATTATCATGAAAATGACTCCCCAGCTGAGAAACGTGATGTGTCTGTTGTTAGCACAAACATTTCGTCAACATACGTTGGTTATTACGCTGCTTACAAACTCACAGTTCTTTCTTCTGTGCCTGTGTGCTATCTACCTGCAGTACTGAAAATAGAAATCTGCCATTTCAGTAGAATAAAAAAAGGCCATCAATACTATCAAGACACAGCTAGCTTCCTCATAGGTACTTCTGACCTCAGCTGCTGCTCTCAGGGACACAGTGGAGAGTTTCGGGTCATCTGGGAGCTACAGCGATTAAGGAGGATCATTGTATTGCTGACTGATAAGTAAATGTGGTGAAAACTACCCAGTTGTTCCCTCTCTCACACTGGGCTCTTCCTGCAAACCAGCTCTTTAGTGCTACTTTCTGCTCCAGCTCAGAGACTCAGGGTTAGAAAGAAACATTGCAAAGGCGGCTAGAAGCATCGCCTGCCCAAAGCAATGCGGAGATTCCCCCATCGGCCCCACCTCCCATGTAACTCCAACTCACCAGCTCTCACATTTGATTTGGATCACATCCCGCCGAGAACATCGCATCTCAAATGGAGGACCCAAGGGGCTCAGCGAAAAGGTCACCAGATGCCATCTTAAAGGTCTGCCAGCCTTGGCAGCCACTCAGCACCACCAATTTTCCAACTGTGCGCTATCTAACAGGCCCCAAGCCCTCCAGAGAAGACGGCCCAGAGTGTGCCAAGGCAGTGAATGGGGATCTAATTCCCAGTAAATGAAAGCAAGTTCTTATTTGGAAGTAATAACAGATAATCAATGCAACCAGAATTTTTTTTTTAAAAAGACAACAACAAAATAAAAAATAAAGTGGGACTTGGGAAGGAGTGCAACTGAGAATCTCACCAAACTCCACGGGGAAGCTGTAATGTGAAGCCTGTGCTAATGTAGCAAATGTTATTGTGATGAAGCATGAGGGGTTTTCTTCTTCTTTTTTTAAATTCCATGAAGCCATATTGTGTATTATTATCATAGAAATTTATTCTGCAGAAAGAATTTTAAAATACTTTAACACCCAAGCCTATGCCTGAATCAGTTTTTTCTTTGTCATTGTAACTATACAAGTTAACATTTCTAAATGCTTATTTTTGTGTCAGCTGTCACATATAAATTTACATACATTCTCTCACGCTATACTAATAATCTTGAAAAATAGGTATTATTATTACCATTGTACAGATGAAGAAACAGATGATCAGAGAGATTAACTGCCCAACATCACCTTGCTAGTCAGTACAGATCTAGGACTCATGCCCAGGCTCCAGAGCATATGCTCCTTCTTCCCCTACATTACTTCTCAATTCTACGCTCATCATTTATAGACTGTCTGTTTTAAACAACAGGACTGTGCTTTTCTTTTAAAATGTTAATAAAAAATACCATATATAAAGGCATCTAGTTCACCTTTCCACCTAGACCTAAAGTCCCTCTACAGGACCCCTAAGTGGCTGTTGTTCAGCTTTGATTTGTAACCTTCCCAGGGACAAGTAATTCAATGCATTTTCAAAGTTACTCCCAAAATAACCCATTTCTTTCTTTATAACATTGAGTCAAACTCTGACATCAATGAAAATAACCAAATTTACTTTAAATGGCATTTGCACTACACTATTTCACAGACTAAAAACGATTTCTCAAATTAAGTGCATTTTGGCCGCAAAATTAGCAACCAATTCGATCAGCAGTTGTTCTTTGGTATAATGTACTTTTAACTTATAGAAAGTGATATCCCAACAACCCTACTCTCGTGCGAACTTCTTGCTTCCCTTCTATGCAGTTTGACACCATTAGTTCTGTTCACACCATGGGTGTCTTCTCTCTGACTTGTCTTTGAGTTACACATTGCTGCCTTCTTAGTCGAGGTTGTAGTGGCATCCAATCCACTTATTGTCTTCAGGCTGTGTTGTCTTAAACTTTATAAAAATAGGTGATAACCGAAAAAATAAAGTATATTAAAAGAGATATGGGACCCTAAAGGAGTTTCAAATCAACTCTTCTTAAAGGGGAGGAAAATGACTCCATGAAGTAATTAAGTCTAAAATAGCAGGTGAGGGAGAAAATAAGAGGTGGAAAAACATTACAGATGGGGTAAAGGGCTTACTCTTGTAGGAAATGATATTAATTCCCAACCATTGAATCTCAGACCACCTGAGGTGGGTCACATTCATGCAGGGCACTGGATGACAAAACAGATACTTTGATGACTCTGAAATTATTAAATTGGAATCAAATAGGACAAGAAAATCTGTATTCCTGGCAAACATCTCAGATGATTCCTATGTACACTAAAGTTTGAGAAGTAACAGCATAGAGAATCAAAAAAGGAAGGTTTTAGTCTGTAATTGTGCAAAATTTACCCATAATTTCAAGCAGTATAGCACTGATTTTGAATCCTAGCCCTAAATATAACTTGTGTGACTTTTGGCAAATTACTTCTCATCTCTGATTTTCAGTCTCTTATCTGTAAGATTAGAAAAATAATACTCATCAAGACAACATGTATAAAATATTTAGCACTGAGTGTTGTGCTCAGTCAGCCCTTGACAAGTAGTAATTTTACATTAGTCATAAGTTAAAGTGCTGTCTCCTTTATCAAAACCTCCCTATCACCCAGGTACAGAAAGGATGCTCTTTCCCTTGGATGCCCAAAACTTTATTGATAGACAAAACTAACGTGCAAAAGATCAAAGTTTTATAGTACATAGGAACTGAGGAAAATCTATTTAAGTAGATAAAAAGAGAATATTTAATATAATCTATCTGACTAAGAACAGTAAACACTAGTTCTAGAAATCACCCACTTTAAAAAACAAACCAGAGTAGTTAAGATTAAAAATCTGATGTGATAAAGCACAATTCTTCAGAATCTTTAATTTTACAGAAAAAAACCCCCAACAACAAGGCATCATCACAATATCCTCAGGTGGATTATACCCAGGAGCTTTGCAGACTGTGCTGCTTTTAAATCTCTGAGCCAACCTTCATCAGCTTGAAATTTAACATCTTTTGCACTTGCATTGTCCCCTGTTTTGCTTTTGCAAGCCTAAGCAAAATGATCATGCAAATGCCTGGCCTCTTCACCAATTATCTCAGTGCTTTAAGGCACAGTTTCTGAGCCGGGTCTTCTGTCCACACTGTGAGAGGATGCGGCACAAGCGGTTCTCCTCTCTCCGAGCCACCCCCTAGATACATACATATGGTCTAAGGGAACGGGAGCAATCATTTTTGCTATGTTATTTTCTTTAATTAGGTTGAACTAAATCAAGGGTATGTAAAGAAATCATGGGTTTAAAAAATGTACTATAGTGAAGGGGAAGAGGGCTGAATAGAGAGAGCACTGGATTTTTAGGGCAGCGAAACTGCTCTGTATGACACCGTAATGATGGGCACAGGTCCTGATACATTCGTCCAAACCCACAGAATGTACCAGACCAAGGGTCAGGCTGAAGGTCAGTTATAGACTTTGAGTGATTACGTTGTGTCCATCTAGGTTCATCAATTTGAACAAATGTACCATTGTGGTGGGGAGGTTGGTTACGGGCATGTGTAGGGAGAGTAGTACACGTGGTATCTCTGTACCTGACCCTTAAGTTTGTTGTAAGTGTAAAACCGCTCTGAAAGATCAAGTCCTAAAAAAGCATACTATACAAATATAAATCTGTTCTTCCTCAAAATGATCAGTTGTTAAACTAAATGTGGCAAGGTGTGTTAGCCTTAGAGAAATTTTCCGCATATGGACACAGGAACTTTTGTTTTGCTTTGCTTTTAAACCAAACCAGAATTATACAGTTTTGTAATCATTTTTTTTAAAAAAAACTCCAGTCAATAATATAATGAGATAGTTTTACACATTAATACTTATATCTCTACAAGAACATTTTAAATGTCTAAGTGGTATTTCATTGTATGCATATGCAAGGGCTTATTTAACTAGTCCTATAATGTTGAATCTTTATTTCTCCCCAACTTTTACCTATGTACACATT